TGCCGGTGCTGCAGTGGGCGGCGGCGGCGGCGCTGGCGTTCCTGGAATGGAGGGTGGCTGGCTCAGCATGGAGGAGGATGGTTTGCGCGAGGCCGGTAGGGGGGGCGGCTTCTTGCCGATGGGGGGAGGTGGTCCCTTCTTGCCGATGGGCGGCGGCCGCAGTGACGGTCTTCCGGGTATGCTGGGTGCCGCGGCGCCCGGCGGCCTGGGCGCGCTCATGGTGGGCGGCTTGGGTGCGGAGAAGGACCTGCCGCTCGACTCTGGGTCGGAGAGGTATGAAGAGGAATCAGAAGCACCCGTGTCGACGCCGCCGCGGCTCTTCCGCAGCTTCGGCATGCCGCCTGCGAAGAGCCCGCCCAGTTGTGGTGCGGCGTCCATGCCTGCGCCTGAGCTCTCACGTCCGCTCTGGTCGCTGTTGCTTCTGGCGCGGTTTCCAGGAGCAGGGGGGGCGAGTCCTCCGGGAGGTTTGGGCATGCCACCCATTCCCATACCAGGAACTGGAGGTGCGCCGCCGATAGGGGGGCCGGCCGAGCTATTCGCAGACTTGCCGACGATAGGTGCCGAGCGATCATTCGTCACTGCCTTTCGAAGCGCCTTGCCCCTGCCGATTTCGCCGAGAAGAGCACCCTGGGAGAACAAGTCAGTGATTGTGCCGGGGTTTCACCATCGAGGTTGAGATTCGAGTCTTTCACATACACGTCCGGCGCCAGTGGGTGGCCTGGAGGGGAGGTTGGCGGCTGGTGGTCCTCCAGGCGGGGGAGGCGGAGGAGGGGGAGGGCCACCCATGACGGGCATGGGAGGTGGTGGAGGCGGCGGAGGGGGCGGCATGCTGGTTTTGATTCTCTTGAGGTCTATGTTCTTGAGGTGTATGTTCTTGACGTGTATGTTCTTGACGTGTATGTTCTTGACGTGTATGTTCTTGACGTGTATGTTCTTGACGTGTATGTTCAGTCGAGGTGTTCGTCGTCAGGTCGCTCGCCAGAACTTCCAGGACGGCAGCGCCCAATGGATGGCCTGTTTGCTGCCCGAGGTGAGTGGCACCTGAGTATCGGGTAGGTGGGGGTAGTATCGCCGCAACAGTGGCTCTTTCGTCGCGGATGATGCTCGGTGGTGGTTGAATGGTATCGAGCCAAAGACGACGCCTTTGTCATTCGTTGTCGAGATAGGCTGATCGGCCGAGTTGGATTGACAGGACTCACGGGAGAGCTGCCAGGCTGCTTCGTCATCGTTGCGCGTCAGTGTAGCTTACCTAATGCACTTCCATGCGGCCACGTGATATCGCCCTACAGACGGGTTGACCTCCACGAGAACTCCATGGTACGATGTTTCCCTCTTGAAGCCAGTCCAACATTTAAATTGCCTGACGCACAAGTTCTCTGTCAGGTATTAATGCATTAACAGTAAACGGTCACAGGCGATGAAAAGAGAGGGCCCCTGAGCCATGCCAGAACCTATCCCTCTCAGCGACACATACCCTCTTGCTCTGTTGTCAGGCCAAACCGCGTCAGGCCAAACGCTCTGCAATCATTGGCGCTCGAAAGCTGCAATTTTCCAATATCCCCAGGTGCATTACAAGTCATGTGCTTCAGCTCACACGCCTAAACTCAAACCCGACATGACAAATCTACGCCAGATCGCTGTTTAAGTGCGAACGACTTGTACCTCAAAAAGGCAGGTCAATGGTGCGCTCGTCACACGAGTGTCATAAACAAGGACCGTTGACAGTGCATGCACCCGGTAAAACAGAGCAGCCTCTTCTCTTTCTCCATCGGCTACACTGAGCCCACATGGAAGCCAGGCATGGCGTTGGCACCTGAACTCATGTCACCAATGCCATGGTTCCTTGGATTATGGCCGCCTGTACGATGACGCCAAATATACATGTGTCTCGGTCAGCTCTGGGCAAACGTCATGACTGAGAGAGACCTAGCAGACACTGCTCTTGTGTGACATTGCTCAAACGTGCCGGCCGGAACGCAAACTCTTCTTGTACATCGCCGCCGGCAGACGACATCAAGCCCAGACGTCCTCAACATCGTAGGCTCAGCGCGTCAGCTAGCACATGATGTCTTGGATCGCTTGTGGAAGCTAATTGGAAAGATTCCAGCATGAGCGCCAGGGCGGTGTTCTGTCCGGACAAAACAATCAACCTCGCATCTAAGGTCCAAATTTAGAACCCCCGACAGAACCGATCACCGTCACAAACAGAATCGATCTGTGTCACCGATGGCCATGTCGATCGTTACATGAACGACGACTATTCAGGAGATCTTCCTGCGTCTTACGCGTCGGAGGCATGATCTGAGGCCGGGTCAGGGCCAAACGAACCACCAGAGATGATGACAGATCTCGCCGTGACAAGAAGAAGCCCACACACCGGAGCAAACCGGCGAACGGAAAGATGGAGTCCAGGAACCCAAGGGGTGTGAACGTCGATCATCTGACCAATGCCGCCGCGTGTCAGGCGCGCAACTGCCGGACAGCGGTGAAACGACGACGAGATGCAATGAGAAGATCACATCGCAGGGAGACTTGAGTCGACGGGAGGCGGCAGCGTAGTGCGGGGGGTGCCAAGTCCGCCCGCGTTCACAACGGGGGAGGTCTGTTCCACGGTAGGTGCCGTCTGGAGGAGGGGAAGGAGGACAAGGCGGAGCGGCACCTTGGTTGCGCGCGCTATGAAGCCGCTACGGGGCAACGGATTCTCTAGGGCGGTGAGTTGGGCACACTGGAGCGTGTCAGGAATCGGCTCAGTTGTCTGCCTACCTCAGTCAGTCGTGGGCCTCGCCTTGCTAGAGGCATATATCCTGAGAAGCGTTGAGTCCTGGACGGATGCAACAGGTGGACACTGGGCGCTAGGCTCTTGCATCATGAGTAGAGACTTGCTGAGAGTATGGTGCATGTACGCATTAGTCTCGACGCATGTCGATCAGTGGAAGTGTCACGGACATCAGGCTTTGTGTGGGCATGCTGGAATGGCGAGCATGATGTCGCAAAGAATTGCCAACTCGTAGCTGACAAGTACACAACTGCCACGACTGGATTGACGTTGCAATGGAGGCTGAAATAGACATCTGAAGCTGCATGTAGGTGTGTTGATTCCAGGGGTTGGAGGTTGGAGGTGCACAGGTGCCATGTGGTATTATGTCATCATGGCGGATACAGGGGAGGAGGCCTTCCGTTAGGGGAAGGTTCCCCTGAAGTCCCCTGAAGTCAGGCACCAGGCTGTAACGGCTCGCCGAAGGGCCGAGAATGGCTAATGACAGCCTCGTTCGACAGCCTCAGGCTCTTTTTTTCTTTCCCCAAAGGGCTGCCTCACGACTCCAAGAGCTTGCTTCCTTCGACACTGGACTGGTGCAAGCCGTCCGTCGCACGACCATACCCAATTGACCTCTTAGATCCCGCAAGCACCCGAGTTCCCCTCTCGAATGACCGACGGCGAGAATAGCGACACCAGGACCGATTCCAGTTAATGCACGCCCCAGGGCACTGCCACGACCGAACCGACGAACTTGCGCGGCGATCTGCACCGCCTTTCCTGCGCAACAACGGCACGACTCGCCAAGTCGACATCATTCATCCCATCTATTCTTCGACTGCTGTGCCGAATTTCCAACCATGATGCGGTCTTCGGTCCCTCGCACCGCTCGTCAGTCGGCTGGCATTTGTCGATTGTGCGCCTTCGCGCCTGCTCGACCTCTGCACACTGCGAAGGCTCAGCCCTCTCCCCTATGGATCGCCGCTCCACAAGGCATGGCCGCTAGGTTTTACAGTGTTTCCCTGAGACATCAAGGCATCAACGGAGCCAGGAGATTCGCAAGTTCACAGGCTGCGGAGTGGCCAGCGCGACAGCAGCATCAACCCTCCGCCCTGAGCTCAGCTCCGAAGGAACTTCCGGACCTGCGGAAGTTGCCCGCCCTCGTTCTGAAGAGTAAGGAACGGTTTCTGTCCACGGACGGCATCCCGACATCCCAGCTTGTGCTCGCAGCATTGAGGACCTGCCAGACGGCGGCGAATGCGATACACCCATACCTCTCGCAGACTGCGCCGAGATCCAGTACAACGACTTCCACCGCGTCGAGCCTCTTGTCGCTCGACTCGGACAGTGGTGCCTCTAGCACTTCATCTGGCGGCTCAAGCAGCCTGCAGCAGGGCTCGAACGCCCCAGCGCTCCTGAGGGAGGCTGTCAACAGCGTTTCCGAATCAGCCTACGCCATTATCGCCCACCCCCCAGTTTCCATCACGCCTGAGATCCTTGACCTCTACGTGCACGTCCAGGCCAGACTTGGCAGGCCCGAGACACTGCCCCACGTATTCGAGCTGTATGCGTCCAAGCCCAAACCTGAAGTTGTTACTGGCGCCATCCAATACGTTGAGCAAAACCCCAAACGGGCAGACAAGGCGATCGAAGCGACTACGGCCGAAACCGGGTTGGGGGTGGCTATTGAGGCCAAGAACCTCGACGCCGCGCTAGGCGTGATCGAATGCTGCTACACCAGCCACGCTTTCAGACGACAGAAGCTCCTCAAGAAGGCGTTTCTCCCTGCGGCAGTCATGGGCGCGGCCCCATTTGCCGCCTACGCACTGGCTTCCGTCATGTCCAACTTCCAGAACACGGTCGAGGCGTCGACGGCAACGACGCTAGGGTTTGCGGCCATCATGGCGTACCTCAGCTTCACATCCACGATCGGCGTGGTGGCCAAAATCACGTCCAACGACCACATGAAACGCGTCACCTGGGCGCCTGGTATCCCGCTGCATGAGCGGTGGATGCGAGAGGAGGAGAGGGCGGGCCTGGACGCCGTGGCTTGCGCGTGGGGTTTTAGGGAGAAGTGGCGGCATGGAGAAGAAGGTGGAGTAGAGTGGGATTCTCTGCGCGAGTACCTGGGACTCAAGGGCATGATCCTCGACCGCGTCGAGTTCATGGAGGGCATGCAGTGAGGAAGAGAGCTGGCAGTGGAGGAGGAGGAGGACGCACGATGACGGGGAGTGTCCGATAAGGGACAAGGTGGGATCACCCCCTGGAAGCCCGATCGGGGAGGCTGGCCATTGCACGTCGGATTTCAAAGCACGTTGGGAGGCCAGGACGGAAAAAGGCCTGGACGACAACATCGGCCGCTGTGCATGGACATGGTTTTGAGGGGCGCGGGGCGGACGCCGGTGGAAATAGGATCCGCCGCTATCCCAATCCCTCGTCCACGCAAGCTTTGAGTCGCCCCAAAAGGATAAGGCCTTTTCACGCACTACCAGCAGCTATCAAGCAGCCCAAGTTTAAGCATGTGTCGTGGCATTGACAAGGCGGCAGCCGTAACGCCGGCCGGCACTCGAACGCTTACCAGGATCACCCCCGTCCCTCCGTGTCGATCGCCAATCTATCTACATCTCCATCCCGCGCATCTTGCCAAGACCGCGCTAGTCTGACCTGCGCTTCGACTGCGGCATCCGACCCTCGACTTGCCCATTGCAAGCAGACTGGGCGCCAGGGCTTGGCAGCCTCGATCAGAACCCAACGCAGATGCAGAACTCGACCACCACTGTCGACTTGTTTCATGGGTTGTTCCTAGATCCGACTGGGGTCCCTGCGGCAGCGTAGCAGTCAAGGTGGGAGGGCGGAGGCAACTGTGGAGGCTCGATCTCCCGGGCTGGGAAAGCTATTGTGATTGCACACACACTATCTACAAGGCTTGCCGGGGTGACTGCGCGGCTAGCCTTGGCCTGCTTCGTCATGGGCATTGCGATGTTGCGATTGTGTCTGACGTCTGGGCCTGTGGAAGAGCCTTTCTGGTATGACACGGCCCCGACGATCCACCTGTGTAGCCTGAACTGCCGTCTTGGGTGTCCCAGGCCCAGAAGCTGCCAAGATCCCTTGAGGGTCGACGGGAGGCTGTACACGCTGGGCAGGGCAGGGACGTCTGTCCTGAAGCCTATCTACGACACGCCAAACATGCCTGACCCGCTTCGTCCGGGCGGAGAGAGACACATCTCGACAGCGTTTCTCTGCCACGCCTCTGTCGATCAGAAACTCACCAGCACTCTATAAAGATCCGTTCCCGTCTGGAACCTCCCTACATTGCGTCTGTGGTACTCCGTCTACATCATCGGCATATATACTCTTCCTCATCTTGGCTAAGAGTTCAGTCAAACAGCAATCATACCTCTATCACTGGTGACACACTACCACCACGATGACTTTTACACCCATCGACCCGCCCCGGTGTGCCCATTATGCACGGTTTGCGTCCCACCTCGAGAGGTGGCAGTTTGACCTAGTCTACTGGGCCCTGTTCATCTTTAATCTGTTCATTCTCTTTGGTGCGGCCTATGGGTATTCGAGGTAAGCCGTCGATACTCACTGTTGTTCATGAAATAGCATCACTGACGATAGTCTGCAGAACCTTGGAAAAGATCGAAGAACTCCCTGAAGGCAGCCCGAAAAGAAAGCCACTGGTTGTGCGATGCATTATCATCACCTGCGGATGCATCTCTCTTTCCGTCGTCACGGTCGTCATGGAAGTCTTTGCCCTGCTCGCTCTCCAGTTCTGCGATGGCGAGGACCTCATGTCTCTTTACTGGTCGACCTGGACCATGATCCAGGTGGGCTCGTTGATCGCCGTGTGCGGCATCGTCCTCGCGCTGATGCACACCCTGCGAGAACGCAAGAACCCGTACGTCACTGTCTCTCATCAGAGATTTCCTCGTAGTCTCATCTCGCTGACATGGTGTTAGTCCCTGGGCGCTCGCGCTCGGCACGCCCGTCCTCGTCGTGGCAGGCCTGTTCAATTTCATGCAGTCGTGCATCTCGAGGCGAATCAGCGAGGCCAAGGACAATTCCAAGGCCAAGAGCATCAGAAAGAGCAGCAGGAGCGGAGACGTCGAAGACGGTACTCTCCCGATGAGCCAGGTGTAAGTGAGACCCGGCCAATGCTACCACGCAATCTTGGAGCACAGACGCAGCGCAGCCCAACGGGTCAAACTAACACGAACCCCAGCAACACGCTCCAGGTCGACTCAAATGAGGACTACAACTACGGTACTGAGGGAGCCGAGATTATCGGTCTCACCCTCGAGGGCGGACCCATCATCCACTTCAAGCAGGCCGTGCCCTACACGCTGCCCGACAATACCCAAATCCTCGGCCGCTGCCAAAACGACAAGCCCATCGTCATCTGCCGCAAGGACGGCTTCCAGCTCATCTACAACGGAGAGCTGCAAAAGGGCCAGAAGCAGAACGAGTCGTCATCCCAGGGCACTGCCAGCAAGCACGGTTGATCATGGACGATGGGTGATGACGCTGCGGCGGCTCTCTGATCTGTCGACGATGATCCTGCCAGCAAGACACACAAGGACATGTCTGCCAAGGCGCTTGCCATGGGGACCGGTCCCCTTGAGGTCCGGGATGAGGACGACGATGCTTTCTCTCGGTCATGATCCGGGGGAGCATGCGTCACTTCCTTTCGCTGGGGACACATACCCTATGGCTTGCAGCTCCCTCCCACTTGCGCCTTTGCCGTCAACACCGCCACCAATAGTGCCGCAAACGGAGTTATGCAACTTTGATGATGAATCAATGATGAGGAATACACCCAGCACACAAACATACACCGTTCGGAAGGTTTCGAAAGCCACCCACCCAAACGAATGCAGCCTTGGCCGCTCGGGGTCCCTGCATTGACAAGGGGGGGGACATGGTTTCCCTTGGCCAAGCCCCAAAGATGATCTGCGCTGCAGAGGCCTCTAACCGCCGTCCCGATGCACGGGAGCCCAGCTTGGAGGGAAAACAGACAAGCCCTTGGCTCATTGCAACGCCTGTGATTGCTCACCAGCTCACCAATCCAATCCGTTTTCGCTCTCGAACGGGGGTCTCTGTTGCGCTCCGTCGAAGGCTTGGTCACACTTTATTCTTCGGCGGCTCGTCGGGCACTCCCTCAAGCCAAGGGGCACTAGTTCCGGCACTCGCAAGCTCGCATCTGCGCGGGAGGCCCACGCCGGCGTATGCGGCTCTGGCCTTGCCCTTTTGGAGAGGGTGTGATGCCGAGTATGACGGTTGGCGGTCGACGTCAGATCAATCAACGACTTGCCGATAGGGCTGCTTCTGTTGCTTTTTCCTGCTGGTCCGGCCCCCCCTCCCTCTTCTCCCCGTTCTCCGACTCAAGCGGCCGGGGGCGCAGCGGACTGTCTGACTGGGGCTGTGTGTTCTCTTTTGGGCCATCTCTTTCATTTCCTTCATTTCCACTTTGAGATATCCAACCTTGAAAGGAGGTTACGCTAGGTGGCGTTTGACAGGGATTTCTTCCAGGGAGTCCTCTCCTGGGTATTCCTTTTCTTGTTCCGTTTCTTTCGCTCCCCCTGTTGTGAACCTGGGCGCCGATCGGGGACCATTCTATCTATCTGTCTATCTATCTCGCTACTACCATGTACTGAGCGCGCCCCCATGCCAGGGCTGCCTTGTCGTTTTCACAGCACATTGGGCAGCAAGCATGTGGGCCCTCTTCATCCATATCTCGTGTTGAGGCAGTCCCCCTTCTCAATTCAATTCACTTGTTCCATTTCTCTGGCCATGGTTTTCTTGGCGAGCAGGCACGCACAAACATTGTTTGACAGCGAAGCAGTGTGTAAATGTATAGGCGCGCGCGCGGCTGATCCACCCTACCGGATTGACGGTTTCAGCGTCGCAGTTGGACAGGGAGAACTGTGGGTGTTCATTTAGAGTTGCATTTTCCCAAAAGCGGCACCTCCCCAGTTTTCGCTCAACGTTGTGCATGGCGGGTTTGTACAGTCTTGCGTTCAAATCAGATTCAACAAGTTATACTCGCCATCAGATCCTCAGGTGGAAGACTTGCCCAACATGCCAAGACTTAAAATTGTGCAAAGACCAGACGGAGTGTTCGTCAAATCACCACTTGGTGCTGCCCAGCGCATCCTGCCTTCCCATCACATCCGTGCCACTAGAGAGGATCGTCGTCGCCCTCATTCCGGCTTCGAGCCTGCGGTGAACCCGCCGCTCCCGTGGGTGCGCATCGTGCCAATCTCGCCTCGGCCGGGCTGGATGGGCCCGCTCGCTCGTTGCCCCCCTCCCCCCCCGTTGTCCGTGTCAATGGTCCAGAATCAATGTCTCAGTCGATTACGCTGCGCCTCGACATCCCAGACATGTCGACATGGCAAGGGGAAAAGGAAAAACGAAAGAGGCCACCTCCCACAGACAGCAGGTGCATGCGTACGCGTGGACACATTGCTGGGGGGAGGGGGATGAAAGTGGAATGGGTAAGGGTAAAAGGGGGCGACAGACCCAAGCCTCCGGACACGGGAGAGGGCAGAGAGAAACATGTCCTCCCGGCGAGATGTCTCGTCGTCGTCTTGCGTGTCTCATCAGGGTCCACGCCCTCGTCGTCAACACCCGTGGGCGAAGACGACATGCTGATTCGATCGATAGGGGGGGGGGGGGGGTTGTTGTGTGTATGTGTGTAAGAATGTGTTACGTGACGGCAGCGGGCCCATTGCGTGTGTCAATGGTAGATCCGTTCATTGATATCGATACTGCTTTGGATGATAAATATGTCTCCTTTCTGGTTGGTTGGCTCTCTGTCTCTTACGGCGTTTGTCCGCCTTCGATACCACTGCGCCTCATCCCACCGACGCCCACCTTGCTCGTGAGACAGCCAAGAAATGGTCTGGGCCTACACTTATCGTCCGTCCTCCTGCGGACTTTTGGGAGGAGCTTCCGGCGCCCGATTGATGATGACGGAGAGATATTCGGCGTCCTTTGCTCGTCCCCCCTCTTCCTCCCCGGATCGCCGTGTTGCCGTGGACAGGAGGTTCACGCCCCCCCGCTAGCTGCTCCGCCGATGTGCTTCTTCAACCCCTCCAAAGTCTCCCTGTCACCCGTCCACGTCCGATGCCGCTACTCTACTCTACACTTTATTGTTCGGGCCGTCTTGATCTCTAGTTCCATCCAATTGTCGCATGCCCTGCTCTTATGCTGTGCCTCCTTTTTCTCTTGCTTGACGCCCACACCCCCCCGCGTACGCCCTACTTCATGTCATCGTCTTATCATCTCGCCGCGTGCAGCACGCTTGCCACTCGCATGGCTCGCTGGTCCAGATCCTCTCGTCTCCCGCCAATGTCGCACTGAGCAGCGATCGTGATGGAATGATGGAAGCACAAGACAGCATCACCGCTGCGCAACGCCCGCCTTGCCAATCTGCAAGATCTCACCGGTCAAGCGGTCATCGCTGCGCAGCACCGGCCAAGACGCGCCGTCGGCCTTGACAAAGGTGACCTCGAGCTTCGTGCCAAGGACCTTGAACGACGACTTGGCCGTGTCGATCGGGGCGAACAGCGGCACCTCGGCGCGGTAGCGCTTGGGCGTCGGCGCGTCCGAGGTCGGCAGGTCAAGCGTCAGGGTCCTCTCGGCAAAGGAAATCTTGGCATCGTCCTTGCGAATCTTCTTGAGGAAGAAGGAGGCGATGACGGTCGAGGGCGTCTGGTAGAAGTCGGTGCGGACCGTCTCGAGAACCTCCTCGCCGCCGGTCTCGACGTTGCCGTCCTTGTTCTTCTTGCCGCTGCCGACAAAGAGGTGGCGCTCCTTGGTCTTGCAGCCCTCAATCTTCATGAACTGGTCAAACTCGAGGACGCGGCGCTTGCAGCAGCTGTAGCCCTTGCTGCCCTCGTGGAAGATGGGCACGCCCGGGTGGTGGACGCACGACTCGTCGCCATCGCGGGAGCCGGCATATTTGGCGCCGCAGGCCTTGCGGCGGCAGACGGCATCGGCGGGGATGGCGAGCGTGGGGTCGTCGTCTTCGGACTCGGGGGGTGGCGGGGGCGGCGCCGGGGTCGCCTGTGCGGGGGCGATGGGCTTGCGGGTGGGCGTCGGGGCCACGGAGGCGGCGGCGAGCTTCTCGACGAGCGCGCTGTCGGCTTGGGGTTCCTTCTGTTCGACTTTGGGGGGCAGGTCGGTCGTCGAGTGTTTGCCCTCGGTGCAGGGTGGGATGGCGAGGAACTCTTCAAAAGTGAGGAACCGGGGCTTGCAGCACTTCCAACCTGGGGTCCAAGACAGAGGTGTCAGTGAGCTGGGATGACGAATCGACCAGCGGCCATAGAGGTTCTCGAGTTATGGGCGGACTTACCCTTCTGGCCTTCGTGGAAGACAGGCGGGCCGGGGTGGTAGACGCAGACCTCCTCGGGATCGGTGTAGAGCTTCCCGCAGCCCTGGTGGACGCACTTCTCAGCCATGACTGGAGCTATTTCTCATGCAAGGAAAAGGAATTGACTCTGGGGCTAGCGGCGTGGACGTGTCGATGATAGCGTATGCTGACCGTGTCGTGAGGGTTTACAGCGTGCTGGATACAGAGTTGGTGATACACAATGACAGTAAGTAGGTGGGAAATGGCGGGGCAAATGGCTTGAATTGTTCTTCTCCGCGATTCCAGAATTTGGCGGGCAGTTGCACCGCACCTGGCAGCTTCCAGAAGGAAAAACACACGTCACTGGTGCGAGCTCTCTCACCGCCTTCCTGTTGTGGCATAACCACCCCTGGCCACTCCATCGCACTGCACGAGCTGCCTGTTGCCGCCCAACGCCGCACCCCGGGCCGCTGCCAGGACTCGCCAGGGGCCGACAGTGGCAGGCTCTGTGATTCCAGGTCATCATCAGCCCATGCTGAGCTGCGACATCAAGTCAGTCTTTACCTTTTGACTTGGCGACAACAGCACTCCATCCATCATCCAAGAGAAGGGACCTACTGAAAATCAATGTTGCAGTTAGACTGCTGATTTTCCTACCCAGCCCTCACCTCAACATAGCCATTCTCCCTCAGCCACTAGAATCAAGTGCGCCATGTTTCCGACAGCTCGCCTACTCCATCCCTGCCGCATCACACTCTTCACCCGGGACGGCTGCGGTCTCTGCGTAAGAGCCAAGTCGGCCCTCTCAAACGTTTGGGACCGCCGGCCCTTTGACTTCCACGAGGTCAAGATTACGACTCCCGAGGCAAAACCTTGGAAGGACTTGTACGACTTTGACGTGCCCGTGGTAGGTCTCCCAGTCCTCCTGCGTTGGGTCTGAATGAGAGGCTGGATGATTCCTTAGATTCACTTTGCCAAGTCGGGTGCCCCAGACGAGGACCCCAAATTGGTCACAAAGGCCCTCAAGCTCATGCACCGCTTCGATCCAGCGGATGTCGAGGCCAAGATGGACGAGATCGAGCAGACCAAGGCATAACAACAGCACTGTCCGTGTCGCTCGTGTAACACTATGTAATACCAAAGTCTGAAGACTTGTGAGGGAGACGTGCATGAAGAATTGGGTGGAGTCTCGCAACCAAGTTTATTCGGCCGTCACGTCCACCAGACCATATACCGCGCCTGCATATATGTAATCCCTGGCAGAAAATACACCTGGATAGACCATCAAGTGTTCTGCACCAAATGCCACATCCAAGGAAGTTGGATTGCTCCCTGTTCATCTGACGAACTCGATTTTGTGTCTTTCTTTCTTTCTTTCTTTCTCCCTTCCTTTCTCCCCTTCTCTCTCTCTCCCTCTGTCTTCGGCATCGATGCTCGTGTAGGCTGCTGGCAGTCGTCTTCACTGCTGGAAACAGCGATCACGTACTCACAAGTAAAGCACAACACTTGTTGCTCGGCAGAGCCCGGATTGCCCAATCGGTGATTCTCGGTCGCTCCGCCTGGCTGCCGCAATCGAGTCCCTGATCACGGTGTTGAGAAGCGGCAGCCATTTTCGTCTGTATATCGCCGTCCCTCACCACAGAGGACGGCCGACTTCTGGGTTCACGCTCGCTTTTGCCCTTGTACTCGCTCTCCATCGAGGCCCCACCGCTCTCGCAGCAGTAGCCCCAGAGGGGGGTATCACTTAATCCTGAAGGCAGCTTAAAGGGGGAGAAATACTGTAAGCCCAATCACAGGGTAACAAAGGGTAGGAGGACGGCATACCCAAGGTAATCCTCCTTGATACTACCAATGGCCCACATCTCGCTGACTTCGGCACGAGTACCGATAACCTTGACGCGCACGTGCGTTCCGGGCTCGATGATGGTGTCATCGTTGTCCGTGAACTGTGGCGGCGTCGCGTTGGGATCCCACTTGATTTCCGAAGGAATCAACTAGGAACATGTCAGTTCTTGCTTGTCCGCCCGAGCAGTGTGCCGCTTCCCAATGACAACATACGTGAGCAGACACGAAGAGTCGCAGAGGACCAGCCTGAGCAAAGAAGCCCTGATGGTTGACGGAGTAGACAACGGCATCAACCTGAAGTCAAGTCAGAAGTCTTGTTCCCCCAGCACCAAGGCAGGAAACAAGGGAACGCTACCGTCTCGCCCTTGAAGGGCCTCCACACGACCGCACGGTACCCGACGTTGAACTCGGCGAGACCACTACCAGGCAAAATCTTTCCCTCGGAGATATCAAACGTGTCCATGATGGAGATGACGTAGTAGCTTCCGGCAAAGGTGCCCTCGACATCCTTCAGTAGCTTGCTCGTAACCAAGTCGTGCATGTTGCGCCCAAAGTACGAAGGGTGCAGGGTGACCCTGCGCTCCATGTTCTTGAGGAAGAACATCTTCGCGATGTGTGTGTGTGTGTGTGTGTGTGATGGTGTCGAGGCAAAAGTTCAGCTCCAAGTCGCTCGCAATTGGTCGCCTCGAAAAGTCGGTCCCTGTCGCCTGCTTGATGCGTTGCGCACCTCTCGAAAACTGGCCAAGTCGAGCAGTACCGTCGTCTTAAGCTTCTTCAGAGTAAATGCTACGCGACCTCGCGTTGGCCGGGGCGCTTTTGCTGTCGCGGCCGAGTGTCAAAGACAGGGAAGAGCAAGCTCTAGCGATGGGATGTTGCTTCGCGCCAGTGTCGTGATGGCACGGAGGATACAGTGAAAGAAAGACGGAAGGAAACTAAAATGCACGAAGGCCTCCTGAGCTGGGGTCGGGGCTACTGAGACGCGCCACACTAACTCCTGGCGACGGGCGGTCAATTGATGGGATCGCGAGCCGTGGGATGGAGAAGTAGATGGAGGAGACAAATCCGACGAGGCTGAGGCCTCACTGGCGCGAGCCCAGGCATCTGGCTAAGGCACAAAGAGAATGCAAGGACAAGGTGCAAAAGCCACAGGCACCCACAAGCACGCGCCACAAGAGTGGAGGACAGGACGGTAGGTGGTAGGCGGAAGGCGGAAGTGGGGGTGGAGTGTGGTGTTGCCGTAGAACACTGTGCAGCACCTGCCATCTGTTGACTGGAGCAGTGCAGTACCTACAGTACCTACCTAAGGCACCTTATTAGGCAGGGTAGGTACTTTAGGTGCCACCTTCCCTCGACAGGACCTGGCCTAGGCTGGGCCTCGACAGGGGCGCGCCTGACTCTGTCTGGGGATGGGGAACATGTCGCAGCGAACCAACGGCAGCGCCAGCGCCAGCGCCAGCACCACGAAGCACGAGCACGAGCATGACCATTGTTCAAACTCTTTTCCCCCCTCTCAAATTCCCAATGTTCATCACCACGGTCTGACCTCGACATTGTTACATTCTGCATCTACCAGAACTTCCGTCTCACCAAACTTCGACACCCCATCATTCAGACAGCCGAGGCTCAACCCTCGGTCGAACCGCTGCCTCGAGTCAAATCCCTCGACAGTTCAGCCCTCGTATCCCCTGGCCCTGGTCTCGCGCCTCCGAAGCTTCCAGCTAACGCGCATCTCCATCTTCAAAAAGGAGGACCCTGACTACCCCCCTTCCGTATCCTCAGCCGTCCTCATCACCAGCGCTCATCTGTCAATACGAACCCCAGATCACGCGATCACTTGCTCTTCTCAGGCCCCACGGCATCTCCCATCGCTCACTACCTTATCCCGACGACCTGAGACTCTCCACCGTGTCCTAGCCTGAGAGAGCCACCTGTCATTTTGACTCTGCGGATGCACTATTCAACATTTGTTTCTCTCGGGTCCAATCACAATCAACCACCATCATGTCCCTCGACTTGGAAAAGCATCTAACCTTTGTGAGTGCAATTCTACGGGCCTCGAACCGACCATTGATGGACGAGGCGTCTCATTCCATTCAGTCTTGATATTTCAGTTGGGGCTAACTTGCGCAAAGTATGGTGCTTATCACCATAATTCGGTCAACATTGCCATTCACATGTGCTGTGTGCCTCTCATCCTCTACTCAGGTTTCTTGCTGGTGAGTGGCTGACCGATCTCGGTCTAGGTCTAGAGCCAGCCGCACACCGGACCACAAGCTCATCAATTGATCGCAGGCCACCAACACGGGAACTCTCATCCCGCTGCCATCTTGGTTGACCGCTCCATACCTGGAGCTCAACCTCGGCACCCTCGCCGCCATTACCTGGGGTGCGCTTTATGTGCTCCTCGAGCCTGTTGCCGGCACCCTGCTCGCCATCATCAGCCTTGCTGTGACCGCCTATGGCAACTCTCTGAGGATCGAAAACCCGACGACCACGAACCAGGCTGCGCTAATCACCCACGTTGTCTGCTGGATCTTCCAGTTCATCGGCCACGGTGCTTTCGAGAAGCGCGCCCCCGCGCTGCTCGATAACCTTGTCCAGGCCATCTTCCTGGCGCCCCTTTTCGTCTGGCTCGAGTTTCTGTTCTTGTTGGGTTACCGACAGGAGCTTAAGGCTCGCGTCGACAAGGCCGTCGAGAAGGAGATTGCCAAGTTCAAAGCCGCTCAGGCTGTTGATGCCAAGAGCGGCAAGGCCCAGTAAGCAAGTGTCGGTGACGATCTTGCCACAGCTAGCCAGCCAAGCGATGGGACTTGCCGACCATGCCAGCCTCCATTCCATGTTCCATCTCTTCGGCTCCCCCAAAATATCGAGAGATCTACGTCATCTCACCAAACGCCCTGAGCAAGTCGAGTCATCAGCCGCCCGTAATATACTCAGATCCTTGACATCGACTTGCTGGGCAAATCACGAAGGAGCGTTACATCCCCTGCTGCGAATTCTTCGTCAGCACCATCACGGCATTGTGTTTTGTGGAGATTGTGAGCCTTTGCATTTTTGTATAGATTTGTGTATGATGGAGGTCACCCCAAGGTTTCCTGCCCTCACTAATACAATCACCCATGGTCCTGTTCTTGTTCTTGCACGCCTTCTCGCTGTCTAACATCTACGCCACTTCAGTTGTATGGCCACACATGTGATAGTAAACAAAGAAATGAAACGCGGACTTCAACACAAAGAAACCACAAAGACTCAAAGAGAAAACCGTATCAATTACCTGCGTTGATGATTCTTCTTGAGATGGTTTCTTGTACCTCCCCTGGGCGGTTCATTTGTCCAGTCCGCGTCGTAAAGTCGTTGTTGCTGAGAACGTTGCCGCTCGATACGTAGTGCATCAGCTGAGACGAACGACTCTGAGTCTGAATCCGGGTCTGCCGCTTTCGAGGAGCCGCCGCGTAACGCGTCGCCCAGTATACCGGTCTTCCATGACCTGTTACGAGACACGCTCTTGGCCTGCTTTTTGCGCGATCGACGGGTATTTGGCGGCGGAGCCACGTTGGGCCACGGTCCTTGAGCCGTGGCCAAATTTGTACCGCGAGGATGCCCAATACTCGACTGGGGGTCCGCCTTGGATGGCGTCTGTGAGGTCTGCGGCATTCCCACATGGCATGAATCCTTTGCGGGGGTCTTGGGGGGGGTTCGGACCTGCTCCGCGCCTCTCTGCGAGGTTGCGGCCCTTCGGCTCTGCATACGAGTCTCGAAACCATGCGACGACAATGATTGCTCCAACGAGCGAGACGGCACCTGTAAAGGTCGGGGCGGCAGCGGCTTGTGGATATCCATCGGATGACCGGGCTGTTCGGGCACTACCTCGAACCTCATTGCCCTTTGGTCGGAATGGATTCGTCGGATCCTCTCTTGTTCTGCCAACGTGAAGCGGCTGCGCTTGTCTGTCGGGCGTGACGAGCACTGCGTCTCCATCGCTTCACCGGGGTACCTCTGCGCAAGGACGCGCCTTTCGGCGTAGGTAAGATGGGTGCCTTCGGGGATGCGCATGGGCTGCTGACGCTCGAAGGGACGACGATCGGGGCAGTAGGGGCATGGATTTGTGGTGGACATGTATAGGCGTACAGAAGTGCAGGGCTTGCTAGGTCCGTCGCCGAAGAAGCAGCTGACGAGAGGATAAAAGCACTTGGTTTTCTGGCGCCAGGTGGAGGTGCAGGACACGGGGTAGGATGAAGTGTGGCCACAGGGGCGGTGGGTTGCAACGTGGACACACATGGAATCAGGTTAGTATGTGAGACTTTGCTGTTGGGTTGGGGATGAGACTTCTTTGTGACCAGATGATTTCTTGGACGATGCTGAAATCCAGTGACAGGTTGAGACAGATGGTAGCGTTGGTAATGGCGGTTCTTTCTCCTGAAGGCAGCTTTCGTCTCGTGATAGACAAGAGTCGATGTTGGGCAAGCGATATATACCGTCGCATGTTTATCGCGCACATCTCCGAACAAACAGGTTGTTACTGGAAAGCCCTCATGTTCCAGAAGACGGCTTTTCTTGAAGCCGCACAGAAGATCTGCGGTTGGGGATACAACATTGTGCTATCGTCCCGATCGACTGAGGACAGCACAATGAACGTGTCTTGTCTGTTGTTCTTCAACGCTACGGCAGTGCTGAACAGCTCATCTGATAAGGACTTCCATCCATGAATGCGCCTGTCGGGCATGTCAGTCTCTCACGTGCGGCTCTGGCAGCTGCCACATCTGTGGCTTCTTCAACTGACAGCGCTCGAGAGAAGGACTCGTCAGCCTGTCGACAAGATCTGACTGGCAACTCAAGATTATACTAATCGATGATGGACCGTTGCCTGTGATAGCTGCGCCCCAGATAAAAGTACCACGTCCATTAAAACAGCATCATTATCGCACTTACGTTGCCGTCTATTACCCAGTAAGTAATTCGTGGTCACCACTCGATACCAGAGAATCAGTCCTCATCAGCCTAATCATGTTTCCGAGCCCGTGTTCTAGTGCTCATCGAATGAAAGTCGACCTAAGCATCCATCGAGCTAAAGTTCTACATCTCAGCCAAGCCTCCACTCAGAGTGACGTCTGAATAGAATCCTTCTTATGCCATGACCACCCGCCAGCTGGGCCATTTCCGACCCGAGCAGTCTCATCATCGCCATGGATCCTTGAGCCAGACCCATCGCTTGATGATGCCACAAAAAGCAAAGAGAGAACGTGCTATTTGTATGGAAATCTCAGGTCCCGGCCGTCAAAGACTCCCTGACCGGCCGCGGCGCCATTCCTTTCCAGGTTGCTGCCCAGGCTTCCAGTGCCCGTGTTAGTAGCACCACGAAGCTGAGTCGCCAACCGATAGGCCGGTCATATTCCGACCAGGTCGACAAAGGAGCATGGCTCGTGCGACGTGTTCGATGATAGACTCGCTGACGAGGAGGATCCTGGTTAGCTTGTAGCCAAAGTGTACCAGACACTCCGTGGGCACCAATTCCTTTCTGTGTCGAGAACAAGTTCACTCTTCTGGCGAGGCACCGGAAGTCGATATTCATATCTACGCTCAGTTAGTAAAAGTTGGTCGTGTCGTGCTCGTTCAGCCCATATATTGGCGGATCAATCAACAACTGGAGGAAGAGCAGCTACGTAGAAACCTATCGTCTAGCTACCGGACCGGGTCCACAGCTTCGTGCAAGTCATCGCCTTTCCTAAGATGAGCCAGCTGGATAGGTCTAGACTCATCTATCAGACAGAGATGTATTCGTGGTGTCCACATACATGGCCCCAAGTTCAGGATAGTATGGCGGAGTACATCGGCGCTTGTGTATACCCTAAGCACATCCATATTTCAATGACCGAGAATGGAAGGAGTAGAAGTCGCAACCGAGAAAAGAGGCCTTCTCGCACAGGTTGGCATGCGCGCAAACCATCAGAAGCACCTTCCCCAAAATATCACGTCTTAAGCCTGCCGCCGCCTGCATAATACTGATTGTAACCCATTTTTTAATGCCAGGTGATAATTCCAATATAGCAGACGAAACTGAGATAGAGAAATGCGATGCCAAAAAGGATTTCTCCTTTGCCGTGTGCCGGCGTCGAACCCCCAAGTCCCTCCACGCGCTTTTGGACTTGCGCGCCCTCACATGTAGAGGCATGTGTTTACGGGTATTTGTTAAGCACCTCTATAACCACCAGGCCATGCGTCACGGCCCGGTGGCTGTTGGTGAATGGCGCGTCAGCGTTGTCTATATAGTTTGTGACGCTGTTGCCTTGGTCGTCTGGCAGGAAAGAGCGGTTGCCAGGCAGCCAGCCGACTTGGTGCTGGCTGAGGCTCCTCAGCAACCACCACGCCATCTTGGTCTATGCATGTACTATTCATGCGGATTGGGACATGAGACACTCAACTTGCACGCTGCCAAAGTCTCTGCTCTGCTTTAAAGACTGGCATGAGCTTCTGCCGACCCCTCTACTTGGGTCGCTCGAAATATGCACCAGACCCTGATCGTCCGCAACCCTAATGATCCGGAACACAACAAGGTATTGTTATGTGGGCCATTAATCCCACGCACCAGAGCATGCTCACGACGCATCTGAAATCAAAAGCACCCAATGCTGTGGAAGGTTGGAGTGGTGTCTGCAAGCTGGATGTCTCGGGACGACCCATCAATGTTTCACCCCGAGGCACGTATCTTGGACCAAAGGCTAGCAGACTTCACAGTGCCGCAAGGGAACTTTATGGAACACCCATCCAACGGCGGGGGTTTGGTATGACATTCCAAATATACTCATCTAGTGGATCGGTGAGATGCAGGTGCTTCCACATTCCGGGAAGATACTGAAGACACCGGAGGAAGCTCTGCAGTGATGTCTACAACTCGCGGGGCACGATGCCGGGGAGAAGCCGGGGCCTAAGGAAAATGAAGGACCCTTGGGGACGCGACCCCACGCTTGGATGCACACAACAGTCAATAGTGCTGGGAAGATTTCTGAGCCTCATCTGGGACTGTGTCACAGGCAGCCCAACCTATGCCGGTTCCTGATGCGGGGACAATCTTCCAGCGAGCCCCAACCCAGGAGGCCATCTGTGTGTGATATCGGTCCGCGGCTGCCCAGGCTTCGCGATATGGCTGCTCCAGGGTCCTGCCGAGAGACAGGCCGACAATGTGGGAAGCGTTCACCAGCAATGAGGAGCCATTCAGGGCTCAGAAGGTCGTTTTGCGAAGCTCAAAGTCGATATCGTGAGGCAGGCGGGGTATAAAGACGCAAGTTGTCAGTCTGTTGATGGAAGAAGGAGACCTCAGCACTCAGCATCTCACACAATATCACACACACTCTCTCACCACACTCTCTAACAACTAACTGACCTTTTCCGTTCACTCCTTTTCGGACATCTTCTCCCCACTCACCTTTCACACTCACTTATTAAGACTCGAAAACCACTGTCACAATGAAGGCCTCTACTGCTACCCTCGCCCTCAGCGCCCTTGTCGGCAGCTCCTACGCCAAGCCCATGAACATGGACGCGGTCAACGGCATGGAGTCGACCAACAACATGATGAGCAAGGACGTGAACATGGACAAGACGGTCATTGCCCGTGCCAACAGTGTCATCAACATGGGGCTCGAGCAGCACATGGGCACGATGCTGCCCGCCGGTGAGGCCATCACGGTCAAGCCCACGCTCAGTCTCGCCCGCCGCCAGGCCGACGCGGTTCTCGGCGGCCTCGAGGGCATCCTCAACGACCTCCAGGTCTCGCAGCGCGAGATCGATGCCCTCATCGGGTCGGGCAGCGGCTCGGTCGACGTCCAGCGCCTCAAGGGCCTCCTCAGCGGCGTCCAGGGCACCCTCGGCGGCCTCATCGGTGTTGTCAACCCCGGCACCCGCGGCTTTTCGCTCGAGCTCGCCGACGTCACAGGCTCGACCGACTTTATCGGCCAGATCATCTCGACTGTGTCGGGCATTCTGTCATCAATCTTTGGCCTCGCGTCCGGCGGTAAGGCCGGCGGCGCCCTCAGCAGCCTCGGCGGCGTCGTTGGCGGCAAGGCCGGTGGTCCCCTCGACGGCATTCTGGGAACCGTCTTTGGTCTTCTCGGCGGTGGCGCCGGCGCCGGTGGCGCTGATAATGTCGGCGGTAGCCTCCTCACTGGCCTCCTCGGTGGTCTCCTTGGAGGTGGCTCTGGCGGTGCCGGTGTGACCGGCGGGCTCACCGGAACCGGTGCTGGTGCGGGCGCTGGCGGTGCCCTCAACGGTGTCACTGGTACCCTCGGTGGCGTGACTGGCGGCCTCACTGGTGCAGCCGGTGCCGGTACCGGTGCCGGTGCTGGTGCCGGTGCTGGCGCTGCTCTCGACGGTGTCACTGGCACCCTCGGCGACCTGACCAACGGTGTTGCTGGTACTCTCGGCGGCATCACCAACGGGCTGACTGGTGCCCTCGGTGGCATCACGGGCAGTCTCGGTGGCCTCACGAACGGCCTCACGAACGGCCTCACTAGCACCGTCGGCGGCGTTGCTGGCGGTGCTACCAAGGCCGCGACTGGCGCTGCCGGCTCCGTCATGGTGGGCGGTACCCGCATGTGCGCCTGCTAAGTGGATTGCGTGCCCTGGGAGCAGGCATCGGTTTCGAAGGTCGGAATACAAAATTGGTGATTTGGCATGGATCGACAGATCATGAGGATACTGTCATCTGGACGATACCCGCGCATGTTGATTTCTTTTCCTTTTTCTCTCCTTTTCCTTAGTGTATTTTGTCACCAGTTTGCTGCATGTTGCATTGCGAGTTGAAGAGAAGAGAAGAGAATGTTAGCTGTTACAGAAGTGTCTGCTCCATGGTGACGGTCGATTTCATGATGATCTGTCATACCTCGATATCCCAGCCAAGGAAAATGATGTGTCGTCGATGGCTAGAGATGAGGCTATGGATGGAGGTCGTCGATGGCCGGCGAGGTTGACAAGTTGAGCCGATCGTGATGCATTTGGCCAAGTGGGGCGAGGCTCCCTTAGATGCAAGATGGTGCATTGCCGCGGGCCCCACAGATCGCTCAATGACGATTCTGACTTGACAGGGCGTTCCTTCTGCTGAGGCAACAGCTCCCCAGTTCCGAGGCAACAGCGACCGGCGAGCAGCCGAGTGGGGACCTTGTGTACACTGGGCCCGCTGGAGCCACTGGGGGGTCCGGGGGTCCGGGGGTCCAAGGGTCCAGCGATGACAGCTTCAAATCGGCCCATGACCTCACCTTCCATTCGCAACCTCAGCACAGCAACTCTCGACACACGGCCGCAACCGCTTCCATTCGCTTCGCCCGATGCCCAACAGCACTCCCGCCCCAGACAATCTCATACCATCGCGACCCTAGTGCATCAACTCCCTCAAACCCACAGGGAACCCATTTGATAGACTTTTCCATGCCCACAACCGGCGATCAGGTCCACATCCAAAATGTTGACCCCTTTTTGTACCGTCATCCAACGGGGGGCGGCGATGGGCATGCCCCTCTCAACATGACCACAATCGAACGCTCCGGCCGTCGAGGCCTGAGTGCCTCCCCCCATTGACCCCTCAACCCCTTTCCGCCCCGTGACCTGGGGTTGTCTCGATGCGTGCCAAGATGGGAGAAGGCGAGAGGGCCCTCGTCTCTGGCCTTCTACGAGGGGCCCCTCTCGCCCATGTCCGTCTTCCCCGACTCGCGCGCGGGGTACGCATCATCGACCACACTCAAGCTTTTCCCCATCCGCTCCCCGGGCGCCATCCGGCGGATCACCCCATTGGTGAAGTCATCGACCTCGACATGATATGTGTGTGTCGCCTGGTGTCAGGCCAGCTCTTCTCAGCCTAGCGGTCGCGTGTAGATTCCCAACCCGGGCTTGTTCATTGGGTCGTTGCCCATCGCTCGATGCCCCCGCTCCCCTCTGTCGTTCGTTCGTGATGTGCCATTGACCGAGTTCGTCTAGGTCTCTTTGACCCCTCATGAGCTGATGTTGTGCCTATATATCCAGTGCTCCCTTGGCCTTTCTCCTTGCTCTGTAGTACACCACATTAACACTCAACAACACAAAGTTCATCTAAGCCTTGAGCAACCATCATCACCTAGAAACCATACCATCTGTAAACATCACCAACAAACATCACCATGGATCCCTCCAAGCCCGCCGACCAGCTCAGCAGCTCCCCCACCGACCGCAGACGCAGCTCCAACACCCTCTTCGCCGGCCTCGTCGACCAGAAGCGCGGCACCCAAGGCCAGGCCCGTCGTCAGAGCCTCCACGACCAGCAGGTCACACCCGGCATGTTTGGCAAGATGTGGCGCAAGTACGTCAATGCTTAACTATCCTCCTAATCTTCTCAACAACCCACTAACACGCCACTCCAGTTTCACCGCCGGCCCTGCGTCGCCTCCCAAGTAAAGAACGAGCGTGCGAATAAATTTGCAGAGTATGACATCGATGACTTATGAGAGTTGGGGCGTTTTGGGACAGCGCGACCAGATTGTACATCACAAGCGTTCGAGCGGAGCATCGTGTATGATAGATGTTGCTGGCCGTTTTACCGGTTCAAACGTAATGATACCTTTGTCGAACATCAAATCTCACAGATGGTGATGTTTCCTCACACTAGTGCATATATAATGTGTTGAGCATGTCATCTCGATTGTGAATCATCTCGGCCTTCAAAGTGTTGGACACATGATCACTGTAGACTCGGAATACTACCATGTGCATCGTCAGACAGGCCATGATCACACAGTCAGTACCATTAATGGGGCAAAGTCAGGCTTGAATTTCGCTGTGCAGCTACATCGGCAAGAGAATCATCGTCGGCATCCCACTTGTACAGAATCCCCCACCTGTGTGCCCCCTTGACACATAGCCCGGTGACGCCCCGAAACCTGATGGTCGAGCGCAAGAGCTTAGGTCCGGGCGATGCAATCCCACCGCCCGTCCCAGGAGACGTGACCAGCCCATCGCTCTTAGAAGCACACGCTTCCACCGTCCAAACGTTTGGTCCACCCATTTCGGCGCCCTGAGGGCGGTGATGTCCGTAGGTGGTCCAGGTCCTCCTCGGCCTAGTCCGAGATGCTGGCTCCGGAGCAAAGTAGCCTCTGCCGCGGCTGGCAAGCGGTCCGCTGGTCGTGGGCTTGCCCAAGGGACGACCAGCTGACGACACACCTCTAGCATACCGCTCTTACTATCACGCTTGTCTCCTTCAGAAAGAACCCCGCCTGGCGGCACTGACGAGGATTTACGCCTCTACCGCAGAGTGACCTCGCCGCCGCCGCAACAGATCCGCTGCTGCGCCGGTTGTTATTCTCGACCAGTTTCGACAGTCATCACTGCGCACCTGGACTTTTTCTCACCACCTGCTCGTAGTACGAACAGTGGCTTTTGACCGTAAGGGCTCTAAGCTCTAACGTCATCATATCGTGAATCGTCTCGTCGTACTGAGTCGTGTCCACCGGGCAGTTTCCCCGTCGTGCCCAGGACTAACGCGCGAAGGTATGTACTGATCGTTCACTCGTAATGGTCCATCCTGCAGAGGCAAGTCAGCAAAGTGTGCAACAGACCTGCAGCCCCGCGGCGAAAGCATCTTACTCTCTGTATGATCGTCATCATGGCGGATCCAACAGAACCGAAAAGCATGGCAACGCTTCGTTATACAGCTGGCATCTGTCGCCATACTGCTCATTGTTGCTTCGATCGAACACGAAGACAACATATCGGGCCTTTTATCGTCCTGCCCAGGACAACACCAAGCAGGGATCTCAATGCCGTGCTGGTCATCGTTGCTACACTTACGCATGTAAGCAACGCTGGGGGCCTTTTAATGTCATACCCAGGACAATGGGATGGTTCCCAATGCCAGCCTGCTCATGCTTGCTTGCTCTGGCAATGCAATCATGCTCAATCACAGTTTCGTTCCAGGTCCTGCCTAGGCATACAGCGAACTCGCCGTTTGGGCGTTGAGGTTAGCGTTCCTGGTCGTTGTTGGGATGGCCGAGTTCTACCAGTGCACGCCTTGGGCCGATTGTCGACATGATGATTCGGAAACGTACTGAGCACCACGCATTGCTTCGACTTCGTCGGTCGGCGCGAATATGCGGTGCACCAGCTGTTGATGAGGGAAACGCAGCATTGAACGACTGTCAAAGGCGTATTGTTGACCAGACAGTAAACACTGAGGGATGGCGAGGCTAAGCTGAGCTTGAGGTGGAGAGCTTCAGACTGGAGTAAGCTTCGCGCACGGATGTCCGCGTCTCACCTGATACCTACTGTATCAGAAAAGACAAGGGCACTGTACGTGTGCTCGAAAGGCCGTCGGCCATCTCTTGGCAAATTCCATGGCTGGTGGCTTAAGTGCTGTCACCCGTTGGTTCTGACAAGGTAGTTCCCTCAATGCGTCGGGGCATTGGGCTCGACCGTGTCGCCGACCCGGATGGTTGGATATTGAGCTTCCTTCGTCGCGTAGCTTGGTCGACAGTCGTGACGCATGTGCGTTCCGAAAAACACCTTACCGTCGAAGCGTCGGGTTTTGGCCAAAGTCAGAAACGGCTCCTGATGTTTTGCGCCATTCTTTTGGTCGACGCAGACCATTTGACACCGACGACAAGAGCCCATCAGTTGGAAGTTATGGTGACCTATCTTAACGTTGGCCCAGGCGTCTTCGGCGTACGGCAGAGGTGCATCGTTGTCGTTGCTTGGGCCGATAACAACGTTGCCTCTGAACGCGGAGATGGGAACCGGGGCGTCCCCCTTGGCCATGATATCGTGATTGAGTGCGCGAAGACTGGCTGTGTTCACCAACAAAATTGGACTCTCATTTGCGAGGAGAATCTTGCTTCCCTGCTGTTCAGAGTCCGAGTCCGGCGGGGATGGCAGGTCTGGGAATGACCCTGGTATCAGGCTCGTGGCTGACTTTCCGAATCTTTGGTGCTTCTGAATTTGTGCCTTTGACTGGCGCATGCCTCGTCCTCGACCGCCTGCCGGGAACCGAGCGAGCACACAAGGCACTCCTAGAACATCAGAGAAGAAGGCATTGACCTCTGGAAGAGCGCATTTCTGAGCGGATATCTGGTCACCGCAAACTCGGGACACAAGCATAGGATTGGAGTCTTGCGTGTCCAGAACGGTTGGGTCCGCTGACAATGGCACCGAAACCTCGCTTGGCCCATCTGTGCGTACTGGGCCGCAGCATGTGACACGAAGAAGGCCTTGCTGAAAATCCAGGACTGGGCGGATGAGAGCCATCTGAGGATATCGTTTCTGGCTCAATGCTTGTCCCGTTCCAGAGTGAACCAGACACCATTCCCTGTCCCAAGCTAGACCCTCTGGTTTCACTTCCCAATCTATACCATGCGGCACCGAATAGGCGGCACAGCTTTTGATGGGAAAGACAGACAATGCCTGGACACGTAACTGTGCGGTGTCCGAAACCAACTCCACGGTGGTGGTGGGTGGGATCGTGGCAGGATACTCTGTCTCTCTGTAGAATTCGGCAATGAAGTCAACGAAGCTTTTGACATCCTGCATTATGCTCATCGCGCCTAGGCTGGCCCGGATCACACCCGTCGGTTTTCCGGCGATGATGTCTTGATCCGTGCCGCAACGAAAGCCAGCTGAGAAGTTTCTCCGAACCTCCCAAGGCTCAAGCTTGAGAGCTGCGGAGATACCACCTGGGCTGCACACTCCACCGGTTCTAACATGAAATTTCTGAAGTGTAGCAAGCTTCTCAAATTCATTCAAGCTGATCCATGCACCTGCGGCGTTGAGCAGATTGAAGGCTACCACTGGCCCATGCTCAGCGATAAGTTTGGCGTTGGGGTCGTTGTCTTCACCGTACAGGACACAGACTGGTTCGCCGTTAGAATGCCTGAGAGCAGACAGTCCTTTGGCCAAATGCCGGCGCAAATACAGCGTGTGAGAAGCGACGTGCGCCATAGTCCCAAAAAGCGCCTTGTGGCTGTGGAGAGCAGCATCAAGCGCAATTATGCTGTGAAATGGCAGTGTTCCGTCCTCTAGTCTTTCGTGCAGAAATTGACTCTTCGAGGCATGCCACTTCTCTTTCCCACATACGACAGTGTCGACAGTGCCGCCACCAAAATATCGCCTCGAGTTGAAGATTGGCTGTGCTTGTCGTCGGACAATCAGAGCCCCCAAATCGGGGAAGCCGAAGATCTTGTAGAGACTAAGGACGGTAAAGTCAGGCGAGGTTTCGGAGTCGCTGAGATCGAGTGGCGAGGTCGTTACGAGAGATGAGGCGTCGAGCATGGTATATAGAGCCCTCGATGGATGCACCGCCTTTCTCATCTCCGATGACCACGAAACTGGGTAGCGTCTCCCGTCCATATGTGACTGGGCGGTATGGGCGAACAAAATTGTCGAATCTGAAGCGACCAGACTGAGATTGAGTGTGTACCCAGCGAGACATTTGTTGATGTGATCGTTATCGATACAAATACTCTCGACGGCTTCCTCTCGAACGCCAACAAGACTAGTATGGCAAGCCTGATGATATGCGTATGAGAATCCAGCGGGGAGATTGCGAAAGGCTTCAAGCACAAGTTTGACGCCTGCCGTAGCATTGGCAACGAAGACCAAGTCGAACTCGGAAGGATCCGCGTTGAAGAAGGTAAGAAGTCGCAAACGAATGTCTTCAATGCGAGACGTAGTGTACTGTGAAGGCAGAGAGCCAGAGTGAGGGTTGCCGAGTAGATTAGACATCATATCTGCCGTGAACATGTCCATCATAGACTTGGAGTAAACCGTCGTCCCAGCATGGTCGAGATATACGGATTCTGCGGCGAGTCAGCCTTGTCGGATTTTCCGGACGAGCGAACCAGCAGACCTTTGAGCATGGGATATTCGCGATCTCTGAAGCCCTCCACCAAGGCATTATATGAGGGTTCTGCCATATCGAAGTAAGGTCATGCAACACTATCTCATGCCACATACACTGGCGGTGTGAGGTTGGTGTGTCGGAGTTGCAGCCGAGGAGCCAGAGTAGGTGAGGGGAAGAGATGGACAGGCGGCCTGACTGTTACGCCCACGGCCCAAAAGAGTGAGGAAGGAGGAGATGCCGATGAAGGCACATGGAGGCAAGGTCATGATGGGGCCGACGACAAGTTGATAAGCCGAAGAGCCTCATCTCCAATTGCGGGGATCATCTTGTCTAGATAGGTACATAGGTAGTTACGGCGGAGGCCGGCGTTTGGTTTGGAGAGGGACGAGTGATCGGGCACCTCCGCACAAAGCACTAATTATTCGCTTGCCTCGCCTGTCTACTGGCTGACACTGCCCTTGGCTGGCAATCATCTGGCCAGACTTGCCACCGAGTACCTTAGTCACGAAAAAGGTGGGACCTCGGACGCGTGCACGTCCTTTGAGAAGCACGTGCCGGCGCCGGCTCCCTCACGTCCGTTTAATGGGAATCGCGCCCTGGCGCGAGAACGCGCTCCTGCAGCACTTTACGCGCCCTACTGGCCCACCCTTCCAGGGCGGCTACTTCTAAATCTCCCTGCCAGCCAGCTCCCGGAGCAGGTCCGACCTCGACAACGACACATCCCACACCACCACATACCTACCTCTCAACTGTTGCACCTGCATCAACGCACGACTGTTCACCAACTGACTGCACCTTCTTGAATCTTGCACCGTTCATTCCTCCTCGACCGCTTCTTCTTGACTCTCAGGTCGAAAGCCCTCGAGCGATTCCAATGGCCGGCACAACCCTCGGGAAGCGGACGAGGGACGTCGCAGACACAGGTAAGCGGACCCCCAAGCAAGCGCCTCCTGCGTTCATCTTGCTCATCAAGCCCCTTTCAGGTGCCCTCGATTGCCCTGCAAAGCGAACTCGACGATCAGCTCGACTAGCGGAGGCCAATGACGAAAATGCCGACCCCAAGGCGACCGAGTCCCTGTCGGAAATCGATGAGGATGACGATGACGTCCCCACGCCATCCACAAAGAGACAATACCGCACAAAGCCACAGAAGCTTGCAAAAGCCGTACCCGTCACTCCACAAACCCCTCGTCACCGAGATGCCTTCGCAAAGGCCCCAATCACGCCAAGACATGCTGTCATGTCTGCGGGCAAGCTTTTCCGACGAATGACCCCCCAGACGCCTCTCACACCAGCGGCGCAGCAGACGGTCTACCACCACGCGCGACAGCTCTTTGCCCGCGGAGCTGATCCTGGCCAACTTGTAGGACGTGAGGAGGAGAAGGCCCGGCTCAGCAATTTTGTCGACCAGTGCTCCTCTTCGGCTCCTAGCGGCTGCCTCTACATCAGCGGTCCACCGGGTACAGGGAAAAGCGCCATGGTCAAGGAGGTCACGAGCAAGTTGACGGAGACGCTCGGGGTGCGTCAGGCTTACATCAACTGCATGAGCATCAAATCATCCAAGGACCTGTACAACACTCTTCTCGACTTGCTGGGCCACAGCGAAGACGTCAACGAGGCGCAAGCCATGGCGGCACTACAGACAATCTTTGTCACCTCGGAAGAGGATGCGCCTGTCCACCTGGTTGTCTTGGACGAGATCGACCACATTCTCACAATGGGCTTGGAGAGTCTATACCGTCTTTTTGAGTGGTCGCTCCAGAAACCGTCACGGTTGGTCATGGTCGGCATCGCCAACGCTTTGGACTTGACAGATCGCTTCCTACCACGACTCAAGTCAAAGAACCTGAAGCCCGACCTGCTTCCTTTCCACCCTTACTCAGCCGCCCAGATCAAAAGTATCATCACGACCCGTCTAAAGAGCCTGTTGCCAGAAGGCAGCCAGCAGACATCAGCTCCCTTCATTCATCCCGCCGCCATCGAGCTTTGCTCGAGAAAGGTAGCCAGCCAGACGGGAGACCTGCGCAAGGCCTTTGAGATTTGCCGCAGAGCGCTGGATCTGATCGAGGCGGAGACAAAAGAGAAGCACGAGAACGAAGCACGCGAAAAGATGCTTCAGATGACGCCCTCTAGGAAGCCCCTGGGTGAGACTACGAATCGTGCCTCTCCCACAAAGGGCGGCTCGAGGAGCGTCGCCCAGATTGCCACAAGCTCGCTCAAAGCTTTGACGGCAGAGACAGCGCCTCGCGCTTCCATCGGGCACCTCAACAAGGTCACGCAAGCGGCTTTTAGCAACGGCACAAACCAGAGACTCAAGGCACTCAACCTGCAGCAAAAGGCGGCACTCTGCGCCCTGGTGGCCCTGGAGAACCGCAACCGAATGGCGAGGGCCAACTCTGGACTCTCGACGACACCGTCCAAGTCGGCTACCCTCGCACCGACTGTCAAGATTCTATTCGACACGTACACTGTTCTCTGCACACGAGACTCGGTTCTGCACCCGCTCTCGAGCTCGGAGTTCCGCGAGGTCGTGGGTAGCCTCGAGACGCTCGGCCTTGTCAGCCCCGTTGAGGGCAAGGCGGGCAGCTTCATCGCGCAGACGCCTAGCAAGCGGTCGCGCAAGGGCAACTTTGCCACTGGCGAGGAGAGGCGGGTGGCCAGCTGCGTTGGCGAGAAGGAGATGGAGCAAATGACGGACGGCGTGGGCGCGGGCATCCTCAAGAGCATCATCAGCGGCGAGGCATTGGACTGAACAGAGCGAGTTGTGGGTACGGTTCTCTTGGTATAAATATGGACAGAAAAGGGCGTTCGGATTGTGATTCTTTTGCATGGCATTGCGTAGGGGTTTGGATGAGACGGGGCATCTGTTTCCTACGGGGATCATGGGACGAAGGAACCATTTGGGTGCTTGGTGTAGGTGTGGCATACATTCAATTTTGGTGAGCATGTTGAGATTGCGACCAGAGCTTGATACCCAAAAGCCAGAGCTAGATAATTGGATAGAAATGACGAAGAGAAGATTGAACAGATGACCCTATTCATTTGCGTTTGCAATACCACCTATGTCAGACGAGGAGAGACAGTGAATGTGTGCGCACGCGTGCCGACTCGCGACCATCCAGCCCTTGCGAAGCTAACCTTGACGCGACAGAGCCGCGGAGCCGAGAACACGGAGCAAAGTGAGCATTGAGTAGGGATACAGGCCGCCAGCCCTGCTGCGTTGGACCTTAAAAGGACAGTGGATGAAACGCATTGAGCCCAGGGGCATCCGGGCGCTTTGCTAGCCTGCGGGACCCCCCTTTCCAGTGGAAGGGTTGTGAGGGATCATAGCCAGGGGGGCATACTGTACCTACATGGTAGGTTCCTGCCTAGGTAGGGAGGGGCCGATGGGCAAAAGCATCCTTTACCAGACTTGCCAGAACACAACGCGCTGAGGTGTGGTGCTCTTCGCTGTACCAAATGTCGAGGTACCTGGCAAGCCTGGGGAGTGGATGATCTCGGCCAACCAGTGCCTAGCGGGAGGGCCTAGTGCTGCCACTGAACCACGCCCTGGGTCGGATGTGGTGTCTGGCCCGATGCGGATCGGGAGGAGGGTGCCGTAGTGGAGTACTGGTACAAGTCGGCCGAGGGGCGCGATGGCTTTCGACAGGGACGTGTACTGTACATGGCAGTAGGTACCTACGCAGGCGCCGAAACATGTAGAGACATGCTGCATTTCTCCCCCTTGGTTCGTGTCTTTAGCTGTGAGATAAGATTCGGACTCAGCTCTTCCTCGGCCCTTGATCTGGTAAGATGCCGGGCTCAGGCAATTGGAAACATTGCAAAGAGGCTTGAGGTTAAATCGACTGTCGGCAGGATCATGCTGTGGAAGTACCGTGGCGGCAAGACCTGTCCTGCGCCTGACACGCGACGTGTGTGCGTTACACACAAAGCATGGCGAAGAAGAATACTAATTATCATTCGTCGCGAAATATAGCTGAATCGCGGGGACCAACAGTACCAAGTGGCCAGGTCGTCCTTCATCCTCTCGGGGTTACACTGACGGGGAATGCTACCCCAGTACTTATCTCAGAGCCCGTTACGGAAAGGCCGACAGAACCGAGACCCTCATGTGGTACGCCATCGTACGTGAGTGCTGTGGCCGAGGAAATGTCAATGGCTGTACGGTACACTGTCCGTTCGGAGTGCAAGCCAGATAATGTATTTGGTCGACCCACGGAATTGTACAGTCCCACGAGGGATGCGTCTTGTGTGAGATGAACTGTCAATAGTGAGATATATGTGCACTGAACCGTCGCCGTGAATGTCGTTGGGGCTTTGAGGAGAGACACTGGACACAAGTAGTGCCAGTTGGGGCCATGAGGCGGAGCATTCGTGGGGTGGGTGCCACTAGAACAGATGGTCTCGAAGGATGTGGCCACAACGAGAGAGGGCATGAGTGACACGCAAAGGAGAATACTTTTGTCACCTAGGTATGTAGGTACTTGACCACGTTCATAGGCAAGGTCATCAGGAGCAAAAAGCATAGTGATAGAAATCAGGAGGAAAAGCGTGCTTGGTTTCGCTGACAACACATCGGTAGGAACAGTGCATTATAAGTCGGGATCTCGGCTGGGTCGTGCCTGGCCTGACTGGCAGGTGAGAATGAGTGGAGGACTCGGATGGGGGAGGCGCCAGGCCTGAGCGCGCCGTCATCCGCTCTTTCCAGGTTCAGGTTCGCTCGCTCACTCGGGCAAGCTCAGGCTCAGACGTGCCTGCGTCTCTGCTCACTCCGTCCCTCTTTCTCTCTCTTGCTCGCCCGCTGCATTAAGGCAGGGCATGGTCGCCTTTCTCTCGTTGCATCGTCTTCCATTGTCCTCATTGCTGCCTTTGTGACTCGTCCCATTCTACCTCCAGCATCAACAAAACAGAGCTCCAGGCCAACCCCCTCTCGTCCCATCCGTACCAGTTCCAGAAATCCTCGACCAAAGACCACCCAGAAGCCCTTCCCTCCACTGCAGAGCACGACAAGGGCGAAGCTTTCTTGGCAAGGTTCCCTCATTCCTCTTGGCATATGCAACCCAAGCCAAGCCCGTGGTCAGCATCGCGTAGATCCGTGCCAGTACAGCAACACCAAATCGTTATTTCGTGAGAGCCAGCCGTCTTGTATCGATTCGATCCGACGAATCCGACCTCGCAGTCACACACCCTGCCTTGCTCGACCATCGACGACGACCGCCCTCAGCGTCATCAACCGCTAGCGCTTGTTCGCCATTGCATCGCCCCTGGATGGTCGACATTGTGCGTCCTGTCGCCGCCTCCCCTCCCTCCTCCTTGACCTTCGCGCCCACCGAGCCCTTTGGCACCACGTCGAAATCGAACTCAAAAGCCACCTCAATTGAAACCCGTCGCTCCGACGCTGCATACATGGGCGCAAACCTAGATGCCAACGGCGCCGTCGACAAACAAACCTCGTCCCGCTCCTTCTTCTCCCGATTCTCCTTGCCCATTCGCACCCGCACGCGCCACGTTGCCGACTTTCACGTTCGCCCGAATGAGCCCCATCGTCAGTACAATGCGGGCGACAATGTTCGCGGCTCTGTCGTCCTGACCATTGTCAAACCTGTCCGCATCACCCACCTGACCGTGGCCCTGCACGGCTACGTGCGCGTCTTCAAAGGCCCCGCCATTGCGGAGCGCGAACTCGCCAGTCCCATCTTGACGTCTGGCCGCTCGTCGGCGCAATACCACGGCAACGGTTACGCGTCCTTGTTCCAGGATGAGCAGGTGCTTGCCGGCGAGGGGCGCCTGGAAGCTGCCAAGTACGAATTCCAGTTCGACCTGCAGTTTCCCGAGAAGGGTTTGCCCAGTAGCATCGATGTATGCCGTCCAATCGACCCTTGCTCGGAATATGCCGTGAGATGCTAACTACAAGCCACAGTTTGAGCGTGGTACCATCTCCTATATGATCACTGCGACCCTCACGCGACCGACAACTATTGCGCCTACAACGACTTGCGACCGAAAAATATCACTGGTGGAGAAGATCGACATTGGTCTCCTCCCCCGTCCGCGACCGCGAACCATTTATCTCGAACCTATTTCTAAAAAGTCGAGGAGGAGGAAACAGCAGCAGACGATTGTGGCACCGGCCAACACCAATGCGAATGGCCCAGCCGCTCCGCTGGAACGAACACCTCCCACCAACGAGGCGACCGAACATGCATCGGACCACGAATCTCACGTGGAGCGATGCACTATTTCAGAAGACACGCAGCAAGATGCGCACGACAACCCGCGGAGCCCCTTGCACCAACAACAAGATGGCCGGTCTGAGATGAGCGGCGACAGTGGTCTGACTTCCACCAGTGGCATGAGCGACCGTGGCACGGAACATCAGACGGCATCATCGCTTGCCGCCAATGCCAAGTTGCAGGCAGTCGACGAGAAGACAATCACAGCAACAGTCGAGCTGTTGCGAGGAGGTGCCGTCGCGGGCGATACAGCGACCGTCAAGGTTTCGGTTCAGCACATCAAGCGTCTCAAAAGCATGCACGGCGTTATTGTCACCATGTACCGCCAGGGCAGGATTGATACAGCTCCGCCAGCGTCCCTGTTTGCTGATATGGTGTCCAAAGACGACGCTCGGAAGTTGCAGAAAGAAGAATACTACCCCAGATCGAGAACGGGCCTTGGAGGGTTGTCTCTGTCTTCCACAACCTCCCAGAGTGTCTTCCGCAAAGACTTGTCCCAAGCGGTGGCACCTTTGATCATCGACCCTGCAACTATGGAGACAACCGTCATGGCATCCCTCAAGGTCCCGGAGGACGCATTTCCCACAATCAAGGGAGTCCCTGGCGAGATGATCAGCTTCAAGTATCATATCGAGGTGCTGGTAGATCTGGGTGGCAGGCTAGCCAATCAATTCCAGAGCGGGGGCCAGTCCAGGGCAGTTGGGTTTTCTTCTTCCCAGCCCACTGAGGGTTACACAGCAAGAAGCGGCAATGTGATAGATACAGATCGACTGCGAAGAGAAAAGGGAGTGATATCCGTTGTTTTCGAACTGGTCATGGGGACCGCCGACAGCAGCAAAGAGCGAGGCAGGAGCAACACATTACGGACTTATCACGTACAAGAAGATGCGGTCAGCCAGGATGAGATCATCAGCCCGTGGTCAGAAGGGCATGCGGAAGGCGACGATGGGTCCAGCTATTGGCAGCGGCCGACACCGACCAGGAGCACACGGCCGCCTGGGCCTCTGAGCCGACAACATACGGCAGACACAGCACACATGGCGAGTCCTCTGGATCGAGGGGAGGCACCAGCATATGTGCCAGCGCCTCAAATCGAGGACGAGAGCGTTCTCACAGAAAAGGAGCGGGTGCGTCGACAAGAACAGAGGTTATTGCCGAGCCAGCCATCAGCGGCCGATGCAGGACCTTCTGGAGCCTCAGCGCCCGAAGCCAATATTTATGACGCCGACGACGGCCCACCCTCGGCACCACCATTACACGAGCCTTCCAGGACAGAAGCCAATAACGAGCATGACGCGCCGTCAGCGCCAACACTGGAGGACATTGCAGGGCCGGCATCCCATCCAACCGAGGACAAGCTCGAGGTGGAGAGGCAGCGGCTGATGAACGAAGCAAGCGCGCCACCAGAGTTTCCGGAGGACTACGAGGCCGGACCCAGCCACCGGCCATCAGCACCCCCGGCGGATGCGGCGGACGCGCTACCGTCGGCGCCGGTGTTGACGGACGAAGACGAATATGGCGGCCAATACAGCTACCCTGCGGGACCGTCGTCGCCGAGGGACATGGGCTCGGGGTCGGAGCAACTCCCGCGGTACGAGAGGTGAATCATGCTTGAGCGAGGCGTAGTGGAAGGAAGGACAAGGGCGCCTGGACTGATATTTTGGATACCTATCTATGTATGATACTGGTGTATCAGGTGCATCTGGCGGATGGGAAAGCGGTGCAGACCCGCGACTATGATGACGTGAGATATGATAGCGAATTGAACATGATTCCCCGAGCCTGCCTTCATATTTTACTCAGGGCACCTGAGGTTATCGGTGTTGCGTCTACGGCTACAGAAGCACGCGCCTGTGCTGCGATGATCTGATTTGTCTTTCCAACGAACCAATATGGTCATCATCGACGTCACGGGTTGCTCGCCCAGTCTCGGCGCCACGACGCCGCAGCCAGACGATCGAAAGGAAGAGAAGAAGTCGATTGGCACTACAGCGGCCGAACATGCACGGCAAAGACGGCGCACCAGGACGCGTGGTGCACCCATTCGAGCGCAGGGATGCAGCGTGGTGGCGGCGGCGCCGACCAGGCTGAGGGGTGGGGTACACGGGCTGTACATCCTTCACAGCAATGGAAAGTCATCGGGGGGTTCCAAAGCATGGACACCGAGAATCGTCCAGAGGGCGTGAGGTCCCGGGAGGGAGCCTGGAGGGCAGCACCAGCGGAGGAGCCGACTGCGCGGGGGGCCTGTCAGGCTGTGTTCGTGGTGGGGTAGCTGGACCTCCTCGGGGGTACCGCGCTGGTACCGAGTCAGCTCAGACGGGCAGGTGTTTTAGCAGACAGTGGCCTCCAGTGCCCAGTTCTGCGGGTGGTGGCCAGTGTGTGCTGGACCGCCTACTCGTCAGCCCAGCCTTTTTTTTGCCTACGTATTCCCGATGGGGAGGGGGGCCAGGACTCGAGCGACCGACGGGGGTTCATCTACTAGCACCAGCCCCATCCTCGCATTACCTCACCTCACTTTCATCTTACCTACCTTCAACTTCACCTCACCTAATAATCATTTATATATTTATACAATCTTTCCCAACACCACACACATCGTTATACGCGTACTCTCGTGTCACACACCAACGGCACGGAAAGGCATCTGCGAAAGAAAGTCAAGACCCAGAAGGAGAAGATGAGCAGCCAGGATTACTACAACCCCCAGCCCCAGGGCTATGGCCCGCCGCCGGGGGGATACCAGCAAGGCTACCCGCAACAGCCACAAGCAGTACGTCCATCCCGCTATCACCGAGAGAGAGAGAGGAGAAACTCCTCACCCCCGGCGCAGCAGCAGACTCGTGAGAAGGACCAAGGCTGACATGGTTCCGACAAAGGCGTACGGCCCTCCCATGGGCGGGCCCCCTCCGCACCAGCAGGGCTACTACCCGCCCCAGCAGCCGCCGATGCAGTACCACCAGCAGCAACCGCCGCCGCCGCAGGGCCGACCTCACGGAGGTGGCGGCGGCGGCGGCGGGCAGAAGCAGAGGGGCTGTCTGGCGGCGTGTCTCGCCACGTTGTGCTGTTGCTGTCTTTGCGATGGGGCGTGTGAGGGTTGTGCCGACTGGTGAGTTTTTTTTTTTCTCCTCCTCCTCCTTCTTCTTTGTCTTCTAGGCTTTTCTCCTTCCTGCCGTGTTACGGCCGTTTTGGATGAGGCTTCGTTGCTGCATCGTCGAATACGGGCCATTTCTTCACGACCATGACGCTGACTGGAGTAGCTGTGATGGATGCGACGATATGTGTTGAGAGGCTCCGGCGAGGGTTTTGGGTGGCGAGCTGTACGATAAGAGCCCAGATACTGCTACTGCTGCTGCTCCTCCTTGGCTGTTCGCGAGGGTTTGGTTTTTGGTTCCTTGTGCATGAACTAGCTCTCCGGCTCGGAAATGGCGTTTGGCCGGGGAGTTCTTTTCTTTCTTTCTTGAATATATCATGCGATCGAATGCTATGGTTCATCCAATCTTGTCACATATTCGAACCATCTAGAAGAACATGACGTCTTTCCCATTTTCTTGCCATCACCTGTCACGTTATCATAGTAGCGATGCGACGTAGAGTAAAAATTCCTGACTGCAATGCGCAGGCTGCGTCCGTGGAAGAGGCCCAAGATCCGAGAATTAGCTCCGTCGCAACCTCGTAGCACCATAGACACGACAAGCAATTGGACAATATCACTGAGCGCAAGGCTGAGAGAACTAAACTTGCTGTCCGCACCATCAAGGTATGTCGCGCAACCCCCGTCCGGAAGAAGAAAAAAGACTTTTGCCGTGCGCCCTTCCCTCCCACAATCTACTGGTCGAGCTCAACGTAGTTGGCAGGGAACAGGCCCTGCTTTCCGTGAAGGTGGCCGAACCACCAATCCTCATCGGGGAATTCGATATCGGTGATCTTGTCGTTCTCACGGAAGCCGAGTTCTGTCATGCATTAGCTGGAATGATATCATCTTGAGAGTGCACTGCAAACGTACCGTTGTCCTCGGCGGCCTCGTAGTCAAACAGTGCCGTGGCGGTGCGGCCGGCTGCCTGCGGCTGCGGCTCCGGCTCGGCTTGCGCGGGCGCGGGAGGCGGGAGTGAGCGTGCGGCAGGCGCGGGAGCCGCAACCGCCGCCTGCTCGGGCTCGTCCTCGACGAGCTCGACGTAGTTGCTAGGGAAAAGGCCGCTCTCGCCCTTCGAGTTGGTGCCCATCCACCAGTCCTCGTCGACCATTTCAATGTTGGTGACGTATTGGCCCTCGGCGGAGCTCATTCTCGTTATCCTCGGCCTTCTCGTATTCGTACTGAATTATGGCACGCTGGCCTCCGGCTTGCGCTCCGGCGGGGGTCTGTGCGGCCGGAATGTTGGCCTCGCTGAGCTCCTGCTGGGCTACAGCGGCGGCGGCGCCGCGGCCGACATTGGGCGCCTCCTCGGGCAGGTCCTGTTCCCTGGGAAGTTCCCTCTCAAACTCCTGCGTCGGGATGGGCCGGGGCGCATGGGCTTCCGCAGGCTCAATCTCAGGCTCTGGGCCGCGGGCGACAGGAACTGCGACGCGAACAGGCGAGTGCTCGGGCTCATCATACGACTGCTGGGGTTCGGCTGGGCGCTCAGCCGGACGGGGTGGCGCGGGGGGCTCGTCATCCTCCTCTTCGTCGGTAGGAGGGGGTGGGCGAGAGGGCAGACCAGGCAGGGCGAACCCGCCCGTCGGCCGTGAGTCGCTGGGGGGAGGGGGAGGCGGCGATGCTTCGCGAGGCTCCTCTTCCTCAGGCTCATCGCGAGAGAAGGAGGGAACGGGAGGAGGCGGCGCACCAAAGCCGATAGGAGTCGTGTCCTTGAACCGATCTTTCAACGCACCGACGCCACCAGCAGGAGACTCGGGCTGCTCGACGCTGCGATCCTTTGGCTGCTCTGGCTCGCCTGTGTTCTCTTGGCTAATCTTGCCAGCGATACCCCTGCCGTACTCGCCGGTCTGGATGGCGCCCCAGCTCTTGCCGGAATATCCGCTCTTCCACTCTCCGCTCTTTTGAACTCCGAGAGGGGCTGCGGCTGCGCCGCTGATCTGGGCCGCAATGGGGGCTGCAGCAGGAGCACCTCCTCCTTCCCTAGCCTTCTTCTCAGCCCACAGCTGGGCCGGTGTCTTGCCGCCCTGGTCCGCAAAGGTACGGCTCGCAGCACCCACAGGGGCTGCCGCGGGAGTCGCAGCCGTGGGACCAAGCAAACCCAGGCCGCCGGGTGTCGGGGCCTTGGTGCCACCAAAGGAAGCCGCGCCGCCAAACTTGTTGGCAACCTTGGGCTTGGGTAGCGACGTCAGCCTTTCAGGCTGAGAAGATTGACTGAAGGCGGCGCTGCGCTCAGCCAGCGACTTGGGCTGGTTGTCTTGCTCGTCATCGGCGGCGGCAGGTCGGGCGACGGGCTCGGGCTCGGAAGGCTTCTGCTGAGCCTTGGCGCGGATGGCTGCGATGTCAACCTTGCCAATGGGCTCATATGCGCCCTTGACAGTCGTGGGCCGGTCGTCAACTTTATTTTTGGCTGCGGCGCGAATGGCAGCGATGTCGACCTTGCCGATAGGTTGGTATCCGCCCCTGACGACGTCCCCATCGTCTTGTTGCTTGGAGGAAGCGCTGAATCGTGAGGGTTCCTGGCGCTGGCTGGTGAGCTCGGCCATGTTGACCTTGGTAGGCTTGTAAGCAGAGTCGACCTTCTCAAGCTGAGAGCGGGACACCTGGGGGGCGTCCTCACCCCAGCCATCCTCGTCGACGTTGCCGCCTCGTCTGTTCCGGGCTGCGACTAGGGGGTTGGAAGCGGAAGAGGATGTGGGGTTGAAGACAGGCTTGGATGCGACAGGTGGAGGTGCGGGGGAAGCAGTCGACGAGGCGCCTGCCGAGTACTTGGCACCGGAGGCATCAGCAATCTTCTTGACAATCGACTCAGGCTCGAGGTCGCTGTCTGAGCGGGCGGTAATCTGGACGTGGTAGCCGTGGAGGATCTTGGACACGGCGGCAGTGTGGGTGGTGAAGTAGCCCTTTGTCCTCTCGGGGACACCACCACCGCACCAGGCAATGAGGGCATACTTGGGAAGGCCGCTGTTGGGATCCTTGACCTTGACGAATGCGAATTGGATACGACCCTCGCTGAAGTCCTCAATAAGGTCGGCAAGCTCGCCGTCTAGGAAGGACATGGTCAGCGGCTGTGTGATATTCTATGTAGGCTTGTGTAGGGTTGGCGGGAGGCTACATACCTCCAGTGCTCTGGACCTTGAGGATGCTCTCCTTGGAGCCAGAATCTTGGAAGGCGTTGGCAAGAGGGGCCTGAACAGAGAACAACGCCCATTGAGCATATGTCGGAGAGCTCGAGCTTGGCGCAGGACCGTTGATGACGCCCTGGTAACTGCTCTTGATCGACTGCCCGTTGGAGGACAGATTGAGTGACGCCATAGCGATTGATGGCTACGCCGCCGTTGTGTCGTCAGTCGCAGGTCGAACGGGGTAGGGGAGAGGGAGGAGTTGGCAATGTTCGTCGAAAACAGCTATCGAGGGTTGCTGTTTCGCGAAAGGAAGCTGACGTGTGTATGGACAAGGTGAGGTAGGTATGGTGAGGTAAGGTTAGGTTGCAAGCAGCTTGGAATAGTGGACGGAGCGACCGGAGAGGCTGTGCACCAGGATTGGGGACAGGCAGCTAGGTACATGTAGGCAACTGGGGGGGGGGATGGCCTCCGCAGGTGGGAATGGGTGACAGGGCGACGAGGCACCGATCCGCCGGGTTACGCAGTCCTGCTGTGCCAAGGCTCCGCAGAGCGGGGCATGACGAGCCATCTCAGCGAGCTTCACCATGCGTTGAGGGGCGGACAGCTCGGTGAGCCGCAGCTCCAGAAATGTACCTAAGGTACCTGCCTAGGTACCTACCTAGAAAACGCAAGGACCCCGGTTGCCGCATGTGGATTGCACCATATGACGCAACCGACGTGAACTGGGAGACATGGTCTGACTTTGATGCATCAAAACAGCAATTGAGACGCAAATATCCGATTCACCAGGCCTTATCCGAAACTCCCTCAGCTAGCCTGCCCCGCGATCGGTCCACGGGGGCGGGCAACAATTACCATGACACAAGCCGGCCACCAACAACTTCGCGCACTTTACTAATCTTCATTCAAATCGCAAACCCGCCCCAGCTCGTCCTATGACTGTGAGGCTCGCCTTTTCTTATCAGATCGGCTTTCTCGACCACTCCAACTTCGCGCGCCATCGACAACTCGTCCTCTTCCGAGCATACCAAGGGTGTAACAAAAAAAATACAGAGCTTATCGCGGGGCTGACAAACTTGACGTCCATCGCAGCCGCCCACCCGGACCCCGCGTCGACCGCACACGCACACGTACGCCATAATGTCGACCATCACCGAGATCACGAGCGTGCCCGACTGGGAGAAGCACCTCGCCTCCCTCGCACCGACCACCCTCCTCATCATTTCCTTCCACGCGCCCTGGGCCGCGCCCTGCGCCCAGATGGCCACCGTCCTGTCGACCCTCGCCGCAGACTACCCCGTCACGAGCCCACCACAGACCTCCTGGGTCTCCATAAACGCAGAGGAGCTCAGCGACCTCAGCGAAACCTACGACGTCACCGCCGTGCCCTTCCTCGTCCTCATCCGTAACGGTCAGGTCGTTGAGACGGTCAGCGGCAGCAGCGCCGTCAAGGTGCGCACGGCCATCGAGACGCACGCGAAGAACACGGGTGCCGCCGCCGGCGCCCCGGCCACAGTCAACGGCAACGAGGGCGTCGCCGCCGATGGCGTTGCCGCCAAGCCCGACGAGCCTGTCGACCCGGAGAAGGCCAAGGAGGAGCTGTTCAAGCGGCTGGCGGACCTCGTCAAGGCGGCGCCCGTCATGCTCTTCATGAAGGGCACCCCCAATTCGCCGCAGTGCGGCTTCTCGAGGCAGCTCGTGGCCATTTTGCGCGAAAACTTTGTCAAGTTTGGCTTCTTCAACATCCTGGCGGACGACGAGGTGCGGCAGGGTCTCAAGGAGTACGCCGACTGGCCCACTTTCCCCCAGCTTTGGGTTGATGGTGAGCTCGTGGGTGGACTGGATATCGTGAGTTCTCGTCTTGCTGGTCATCGCGCCGCGTGCCCTCTAGTAGCTGACAGAAAGCCAGGTCAAGGAGGAGCTCGAGAACGATGCCGACTTTTTTGCAGCGTACAGCGTCAAGACGGAGGGAGAGGCAACGGCATAGGAAGGTTCAACAATACGGGATATCATGATTTCTTTTCACGTTCAAGAATACATTTCACGCCATTGAGGGGACCCGTTCTACGCCGTGAGTCCTGATGACCTGCTAATCGACCGACAAGGCTTGTGGGAAGATGAGTTGGCAGCTCCAAACAGCCTCGAGATCTGGTAAGACAGTCTTATCGTGATAGAACCTGCCCGAGTTGGAAGCAAGCCTAAGTTTGGATAAAACTGTCGTACCAGATCTCGAGGCTGTCTAGGCTATGGTCATATTTGATATGGCGCATGTTTTTCTCTTCTTCCGCCCCGTGATACACCCCGCGCCTCATATCAGGGTTGCAAGCAGCAGTCTGATGCGATGCCAGCCCTATCTGGTATGAGACGGGCAATCGAGCTTAACATCGCCGTGAGACACGGACAGGCCTGGCTGCTATGGCCCTTAAGTGGTTTGGGAATATTGATTTTCTCTCTTAGCCTAGGTCGCTGCAACGGCGTGCTTGGGGCATGCACGGCGCTGCCGATTATGCATGTCAAGAGGCAGGTTGGAGGTTGGTGGAGGAAACACGGTTGCGGTCCTCAGTATCCTGTCGGGACAGTCAGGCTTTTCAGAAAAATCATCGTCATGTGTTGGGTCGCGCAATGCATCGTCTTGGAATCGCTCGCTCGAAAGAGCTCCTCCGCACTTGCGTGTCGTATGCTGCATGTTGCTGTCAACTGTAGAATTGTCAGCGCCACACAGGTCGCGCTACTCGATTGGAATCTGCGTCTGGCGTGGACAGAACAAATCGAACGGCACGAGGAACAACATGCTCTCCATCTTGACGGACGCGGCACTGGCGGTGGCAGATTGCAATCGTAGACGGTCAAGAAGCGCCGTACTGGGGGTGTCGAAGAGAGGATATCTATCCAGGCGTCAAGCTCTGACGGTGCCTTAGATGGTTGTGAGTCACCGGCGAGTGATTAAGAGTAGCGCTTCGAGCTTCTGACGGCGTTGGCATGACGCTTTGTTCGCGATATGCTGCATGGAAGCTCTTAAGTCCAGTCTGAAGGGGTCTGGGTGGTGAGAGATTCTCGAGATTGTGCCGGAGTTTAATGTTAACTCCGGTGCAGCCCTCCCAGATTGCCGATCAGAGGCGCAGTGCAGGGGAGGTGACCCGACTCTAAAGCTGCCCTAAGGGAACAAGCCTTCACATGGAAGCAAGCCGAGCGGGCATCGCCCAAGCCTCGTCGCGTTGTTGCGTCGTCAGTGTGAAGAGGGGCCTACCGTTTTAGGGATGAAGCATGGCATGTGTGAGGGGAAATGACAGACAGGTTAGGTGGGTGCCCAGGCAGCCAGGGAGCCGCTGCAATCGGGGTAGCATCCTTCCAGGCAACTACTGCCCTACGCGGCGTCGACGACGAGGCTGGTGGCGCCTGTCCCTCGCTGACAGCGTGCGTCTGGACGCCTGGCATCTTAGGTGCCTACTAGGCAGGGTACCTTACCTAAGTACTTACCTAGGTAGGGAGGGTCGAGCCTGGTGTAGAGACCCTGGGCCATTGAGCCAAGGTACTTCTTCCCGCTGCATGGACACTAAGCGCGATGCAGGTAGTGCCTTCTTCGTGCCTCAACCCTGCCCAAAATGGCTTGATGTACGTACCAGCTTTCTCTCGTCGTATCTCCCCGAGCCTGAAGGGACTTTCGTCTTTCAATCCTAGGCCAACCCAAGGACTGCTTGCCTATCCGTGATATTTTCTTCCGCGCCATCGCTCTTGAGTGCCCCATCTGTCGCGTCTCCTCTCCATGAGCACAACCTTCATCTTCAAAACCATCACCCCGCACCACTCCGAGGACTGGCCCCTGCTCCGTATAGTCACCTATCAGATCGCTGCTTCGCTTCCTGAATTTGAGCAAGTGCTTCTTTGGGAGATTCCGTGGGAGCTTACTGATGTAAGTCCAAACGCTCTCGCGTGGCCCCAATCGCATCTTACATACAGTCGCTTTGCCAGCCACACAGCCTGTGTACACACAGTCATTGACTCTGATCTTATTTAGCAGTCGCAAGACCACAATCTGACACGCTCCCCTTCCTATTCTTGTTGAAGCGGCCAACAGCGAGGCTGTCAGATCAGTCCTGACAGCGACACCATCGCCGCAGCAGCGAGCGCATCTCCGCCGAGTTTCGTGATCACCCAAGACTTCAGGGCTGCAGCATCGGCAGATAAAGGTCTGCAGCAATCTTGGCGATTCATCAAGTCGCACAGGCTGTCGGACTGCGCCCTTCTCTCGAGTCTCCCTCTCGAGACGCGCACAGTTGGCGGCCACACTCGAGTTTTCGCCTGTCAGCAGAGCTTCTTGCGGTCAATCTCACCCGCACCCCCAGTCTGCCACTGGATCACTGCATTGGCACCCAACAAACTGTTTCGCCATTGATCTCATCCACCATATCTTGTCAGCATGAGTCCCACACCGCCAGGGACATCCTCCTCGGGCCGCTCCCCCGAGGAGCAGTTCCGTGTCGTGCGCAAGAGGAACCGAATTCCACTGAGTTGTTACCCGTGCAGGACAAGGAAGTAAGCATTATCACCTCCACCCACTGGCGAATACTCAGCTAACATGTGAATGAACAGACTGTAAGAAGATCAATGCAACTCAGCATGCTCAGACGCTCAGACTAATTCTTCAATGATAGGAAATGCGATAGAAGCCACCCATGTAGCAACTGCGTCAAACGAGAGGGCGAGGATGTGTCGACATGCTCGTACGCCACTCCGTCGGCGCGCAAGAAGACCTCTACCGCTGGCGCGTCGACCCCCGATGACATGCAGAATCGCATCGATAGATTGGAAGGACTGGTGTTGTCCTTGATGCACAACGGCAGTAACGTCGAGGTTACCACTTCAGGTGCTGCTCCAGGCGCTTCGTCCTCTTCCAGCCGAGCCAACACAACGCCCGGGGAAACCGACCCATCAACATCTGCCCTGACGAAACAGCAGACAGAGACGAGCATGGACGATGCAGAAGACGACGACAGCGATATCGATGATGGCCTAGCTACGTCGCTTGGAGTTCTCAAGGTCGACAACGACAAGGGAAAGTCCATGTATATCGGACAGGCACATTGGCATCTCATCTTGGCCGACATTTCTGAGGTCAAGACGTACTTCAACAACCACAAGAAGGAATTAGAAAAGGGCTACGAGACTGTCAGAAATTCCAAACCAGCAAGCGCATCTGATGGTCCGACCCTTCTCTTTGGACAGTCGCGAGCCTCCCCGGAGCAGATTCGGGCCGGATTACCATCGAAGACGAGCATCCTTACACTATGCGGAAGATACTTCAACTCACTGGACAATACGCTAACCGTAGTCCACGTGCCAGCCTTCCAACAGCAACTACGATCTCATTTCCAAAACCCAAATGAAACCCCTCTGATGTGGCTGGGCTGCTTGTATGCAGTTCTCAGTCTTGCGCTGCATAGTTACAGCAAAGCTGGCGACGAACCACCTGAGTGGAAGGGCAGGGCGCTCGATATGGCTGCTGAGTACCGTTCGCGGACAGTACAATGTCTCCTTGAGGTGGATTACACGAAGCCGGTCGAACACACGCTGGAAACCATGCTTCTCTATCTTAATGGAGAATATTCAGCCCGGTTCGATGCCGATATGGCACTCTGGCTTATCGGCTCGCTCACCACGAGAGTTGCGTTTCGATTAGGCTATCATAGGGACCCCAAGTGGTTTCCCTCGCTGACACCCTTCCAAGCTGTACGTATAACCTCGTGCGCTTCTGTACAGGGGTACTAACAGATGACAACAGGAAATGCGACGGCGCGTTTGGGCGACAGTCAGGATGAGCGATATCTTCATGTCACAGCACTTGGCCCTGCCAGCAATGATACACGACCAAGATTGTGACACGGAGTTGCCCAGCAATGTTTTCGACGAAGATTTCGGCCCCGAGACGGAGATCATGCCACCACCGCGCCCCTCAACGGAGCCCACGCCGATCGCTTACGCTCTCGCAAAATGCAGACTGGGTCTTGAGCTGGGCAACATTATACAAGTCACGGGGAGAGTCGGCAGACAGGTTCATTATGAGGAAATTCTTCGGTTCGACGCCAGGCTTCAGGAGATCATGGAGGAATTGCCCCCACATCTCAAGATGACGCCGTTGGAAGGATCGCAGGATCCTGTAAGCCTGCTGATGGCAAGATTCAGTATCGACATCTTGTACCAGAAGATCCTGTGCGTTTTGCATCGCAAGTACCTGACGCGGGCGAGAACAAACCCACGATATGCCCACTCTAGGCGCACTGCGATAGAGGCCTCGTTGGTGACGCTGCAACACTTGGCCACCCTTCATCGGGAAACTCAGCCGAATGGAAGGCTGAGATCGGTCAAGTGGTACATCAGCTCCACGGCAACAAAGGACTTCCTGCTGCCTGCCATGATGGTAGTCATGGACCTGCATGTCGACAAGAGGGAGACTGGCAAGCGGCGCGAGTCAGATGGAGATTTCTTCTGGACGCCAGAGCAACGCATGAACATGATCGGCAACCTTGAACTGACAAGAGACGTCTGGAAGGGACTCGCAGACACATCCATGGAGGCATTCAAGGCCTCTAAAGTTCTCGAGATCATGCTGGAGAAAATTAGGTCTCCAGAGCCATCAGAACCTATCCCTGAGGGCATAGATCCGTTCGCGGAGGCCGATACGTCTCAGGACATGCACCCCGAGCACTCAGCAGCCGTCACGCTGGGTATGCTCTCCGGCGGCATGACGCCCAACACAGCAGCGGTACTCGCAAGCATGCAGCAAGCCGATAGTCAGACCACATTTGGCGACGTGGACTTTGGCATGTCGGGTGGCACGGGGATGACGCCCAATTTCCCGCAAGATATTGACATGAATGTGCCGCAATCCCCGTTTTCCATGTTTGGCAACCTGGAGGCAGGCGGGGACCTCATGGCTAACTTTGACTGGGTAAGTTCACTCATATTTCTGTTTAGGCCGAATAGTGACTGACAGCTATGCAGAACGCTTTCGAAAGTTACACGCAAAGCGCGAATTGGGGTGCCGAGAACGGCTTTGGCTTTCTAGCACCTCAGCAACCGGACCAGGCGCCAAGCAGCCAAGCACAGCAGCCCAACAACGGCAACAAGGAATACACATATCCTAATCCCAATGCATCTGGCTTGTAGAGCCAGACCAATGTACATTACGAATTGATGATATTTCCAGTTGGGGAGAAACATGGAAACGGAGGCAAAAGGCGGTCCATATCAAACGGAAGGCAATCACAACTTTTAGGACATTTTGGTTAGAAACCAGGGAGGCTTCTTGAAATTTACAAATCTCAATCTATTCCCCTCTCACTCCACCGCTAGCTCGTTGATTTTGAATTAGGACATGCAACCTGCAGTAACAAGCGAACGAAATAGACGAGGGCTACGTCCGAGGCAGGCCTCTGCAGGCGAACCCCGCCTCTGGCGAGCCATCGCATTGCCGGCCCTTCATCCATGGTTGGCATCGCGGGGGCAGCTGCATGATAGATTGCCGGGCGAGGCCTCACGTCATAGTCCCCCGCGTTTCTGCCCCAGGGCCGTCCCATGTCCTTCATCAAGAGGCCTCGAAAGCCGCCTTGGTGGGATGTCGAGTCAGCTTTTGATCGTGACCAGGTGATGAGTCGATACTCGGCCGGCGGAGCAAAGAAAGCCGAAAGAAATCGAGAATGTCTCCGGGGGTGCTGTATAGATTTTGGGAGGAACCTCATCGGTGCACACTGAGGCGGAGAGCCTTATTCGATGAGCAGGGCTTCTTTAGCTGGTCGTGGAAGACGGCAGGCTGACGGCAACGGAGCTGCGTTGGATCGATGATCCAACTAGTTCTGCAGATGATCTCAAACCTTGGGTGGATTCTATTCTGTGCAAAATTGTTTACCACGGAGCAGGGCACATGAAACCAGCGACTGCCAACAACCAACTCAGACTGGGGGTGGCGAGCTGGTTCAGACTGTAACACAACACGCCCTGCTTCTCGTCAACGAGCTACCCCTCGCCAACAGATCCAATGCATGGCTTTCAGGTCGGAAACGTATCGGCAACATCTCTAGAACCTGGGCCTTCGTGGTCAGTATCGGTCGTTGTTATTGTGACTGCAGTCAAACGTGTTTGGGCTCCGGACAGCTTACATGCGGACCCTGAGCCTCCGTTGCCCAACACCACCGAGCAGTCACACGTGCTCGGGCATGTCTTGGCCACTATGAGCTTCCTTTTCTGGGCCTCATGAAGACTGATGTTAAAGTGCCCTGCCGGGGTACGAACCTGATCTGCTGGTCGTCAATGCCTTTGCATGTGTCACGATTGGTGGGATAGGGGTTGGAAGCATGATGACACCCAGAACCAAGGTTGACCCCGCGATGTACCGAGATCGTATCGTGTAGCTGTTTCCTTGGCTCTGGAGCTTGGTTTGATGAGGTGTGTGTGTCAGAGAGGTTCGCGAGCTTGCTAGTGAGCATCACGTCTCAGTAGGGGACGCATGAGTATAAATTCAACGTTCGCCTCTGTCTTTTGTCGATCTCAGAACACAAAAGGAAAACACGAAAATATAATCACCTAGCTCAAGATGACTTCTCTCACGTCCTACCTTCTAGCCGCGGCCGTCACCTCCCTGGTAGGCGTGTCAGCGCACTACAACTTTGAGTCCCTCATTGTCAACGGCGAGGTCACAGGCCCGTACCAGTACGTGCGCTCGACGACCAACTCAAACAGCCCCGTTGAGAATGTAGCCTCGGCCTCCATGACATGCAACCAGGGCGGCAACAACGCCGACATTCGCGCCCGAACCGCCACGCGCACCGTCCAGGCTGGCGACGAGCTCGGCTTCGCCGTCAACGCCGACCTCGGCCACCCGGGGCCCCTCTCCGTGTACCTCTCCAAGGCCCCCGGCGCGGCAAAGGACTACGTCGGCGACGGCGACTGGTCCAAGATTTACGCCCTGACAACGCGCCGCTTCGACCCCAACACGGGCGTCGACTGGGCGCCCTTTCCCGCGAGCATCGGCATCAAGAACTTCACCTTTACGCTGCCCGCGCAGACGCCGCCGGGCGAGTACCTCCTGCGCGCCGAGCACGTCGGTCTGCACGCCGCGCAGAACGTCGGCGGCGCCCAGTTCTACATTGGCTGCGCGCAGATCAAGGTCGAGGGATCCGGCACCGGCACCCCCGGCCCCACGGTCAAGATCCCCGGCGTGTACACGGGCCAGGAGCCCGGGCTCAAGATCAACCTGTACTGGCCGCCTGTCACGAGCTACTCGGCGCCGGGGCCGGTGACGTGGCCGAACAGGTGTGAGGACCACACGGCGAATCTGAATGGGCGGGCGAGCGATGGTGACTGTACCCCGCTGCAGTAGATCCGGGGGCAGGTCGCTGAGGGGGGCTGTTTGTTTTTGATGCGCATGGCCTGATTTGGTGTAAATAGCCAGCCTCGTCTTATTCCCAATTCTATGATTCATCAAATGGGAGACAATTACGATGATTGTAGCTCTCTGTGAGGTGTGATTAGGTGCGTTGCAAGGCCCATAGACGACAGATGTCCAATGCTTGATCAGGTCTGTCGGCGAATTTACTTTTGTTTGAATATCATGAGCGATAGCAGGGTATTAGTCAAGGTGAGATCGCTCATAGAGTCATCATTATTCTCAACAGCCTCGTAAGTAAACAGACGGATACGTAACAGTATGATTAAGACACCGATTACGAACTTGAAATATAGTTATAAGAGTTATGTATGATTTCCTTCTTTTCATGCACTTCCGTACTACCATATGTGCACAGAGGTCTCACGGCGAACATGTATTCCCAATATTTTTATTTCAGCAACAATCATCTTGCCTCACTTACAAATTAGGGGGCCATCCGGCTGGAGAGAGCATGATTCAACTGTAGCCGATGGCCCAGATTGTACCCGGATGACTTGCCTTCCACCATTCAGCCCCATCCGCCCGAGACACCCTGGCGGAGCGGGCATGCCCTTGATCAGAGACTCTGATTGATAGTAAACCATCATCCATACCTCCAACAGCAAAAGCCACGTAGCTCAGTGGTAGAGCGCCCAGGTTTCTTCCTCCTAGAACCCTTTCCGCTCTCATAGACCTAAAGGCCATACATGGTCATCTTCTCCCCTGGGAGGTCGGTGGTTCGAATCCACCCGTGGCTGAGCATCTTTTTTTTTTCTTGGAACAGCATATCTCCTTTGAAGCCAACACCAGATTCATAGTCAGTGGAAAAGGAACGGGATTTACGCGGACAGAGCAGACATTGTCATTGATATGCTACCGTGCCCCACGCCCCGTTAGACAAGCTAAGGCGAAGAAGAAGAGGAAGAAGAAAGTTTTAAAGGTTGGACGAGAAAAATGCCCAAACAACACAAGTCCTCGATCAATGATTCCCGTCCTGACGGGCGAAATACCTAGATGCCAAACGCATCCTTGGCCCGCTGCCAGTAGGCCACCCTGTCGTCGGTGACCTCGGTACCGACGCACTCGGACAGATACTTGTCAAGTCCCTCACGGCTGCCGGACTGCAGCGCCGCCCGGACGCTGGCGTCGCACTGGGTCGTCAGGAACCAGGCGGCCGAGGCCCACGAGTACTTGTCCGGCAGCACGAGCTCGAGGACCTTGTTCTTCTGGTCGTCGGTCAGGCTGTCGGCACCGACGCCGGCGGTGATGCTCTCGGCCTCGGCACGCAGCTCGGGCACGTCGAGGACGTAGGCGAGGTTGAAGTTGATCATCTGCAGGTTGCGGGTGCCCTGGCCGGGGCGGCCGGGCGCGGGGAAGTGGTTGCGGTTGTACTTGAGATCGCCCGTCTCAAAGGCGATGAGGGAGAGGAGGGCCGAGATCTCGGCCGGAGCGTAGACCTTGTGGTCGCTGAAGGCCTTGATGAGGTAGGGGGCTGCCTCGGCGGCGGTGCGGCACTCGGCGGCGAAGTCAGCCGCAGGGTCGCAGGATGCCGACTTGGGCGCCGTCGCGAGGATGATGGACTCGGCGTCGGGGGCCGTCGTTTTGGTGGGGCCGCGCGGTGCGAGGGGTGCCGCGAGGGCGGTAGCGACGAGCAGAGTCGCGGGTAGGATAGCAGAGAGATGCATTTTGGGCGAGCGTTGATGTTGAAGATGATGTCAGATGTCGGAGTTTTAAACGTCTTTCGGGTTTTGTGTGACTCGAGAGTGACCGGCAGCGTCTCCCTATATAGTGCTGAGCGGACGTATGTTGTTGATACACGAAACAAAGATAGTAACCGTTGGAGAAACCAGCCTAACAACAGCGAAGAACCAGCACGGCCTGTGAGCACAGAGCACAACGGGAGCGAAGAAGGAGAGTGAGCGACTGAGCGAGCGAAAGACAGGCAAGCAGGCAGGCAGACGGACGAAAAGAAGAGCGGCTTAGCAAGAAAAACGAGGGGCGGTGTACACGGTCAGGTCAGGTCAGCACAACTATCGTCAGAACGGCCAAGGCGAAGTCTTATACGATGCAGAGAGCCTCTCACTGCTGGCGGCTGGCTGCTGACGGCTGGCTGCTGGCTCCTAGCTCAGCAAGGTCCAGCCTGACCTAACGCTCACTAACCCCCTGAACAAGGAGGGTCTAGCGATGTCCCGTGCCAGTGCAGTGCAAGCGCAGCCATGGTGGCTGCTTGGCGTGGAGGGGAGTCTCGACTAGCAGCATTCCTCCCTCGCGGTCAAATCAAGTACCAGCCAGTCACGATCAAACGATCAGCCTTCGTGCGCCTCTGGCGGATGGCCGGCACAGGATGCTGGCGAGACGGAAGTGGGAAAAGGGGGCGAGCAGCTGAGCAAACGGCTGTCGAGTCTTGTCTTATAGCAGTGGTGGTTTGACGAGAAGAAAAGACCATGGCGGGTTGAAACATGACAGGCGCTGAGACCTCTCGAAACAAAGCCGACTCTGGAACCTGATTGGATGGTGCGTCAGAACACGAGCTCAGGGATCGGCTGTGACGGCTTCTGGGTCTTTGAGAGCTGATGTCTCTGGGCCTTGGAGAGAGCTGTGCCTCTGCGTCTCGGTGCTGAGGTGCCCAGTTGTTGGGACGGTGTCGGCTGGACAGGTCGGCGGGAGATGGGCTCTGCGTACCGGGCTGTAGTCGGCATTGTCAGTCCAGGGATGTTGTTCGTTGCATGATGATGGAAAGAAAAGGAACAGCATCAATAGCAAGGCGCAGGCAATCGAAAATCGGGAATCGAGACTCCCTCCCACCTGACCCCCAACCCCACCTTCTTCGTTGACCCCCACCAACTGAACTGAACCCCCCTGCCACTCGTCGACAAGGCTCCCAACGCGCCTTGTCAATCAATCATCCAAACGCATCCCACCCGCAAACACCACCATCCATCGCAACCGACGCACCGCTGCCCCCCATCATCGACGCGCAACATGGCCGAAAACGTGGCACCCACGACAGGCATCGCCGGCGCCACGCCGAGCCTGCAAATGTACAAGCAGGAACAGGTCAAGCTCAAGGCCATGCTCGAGCAGCGCAACCAGGTCGCCCGCCGCCTCGCCGCCATCGAATCCGACATTGAGACCAAGGAGGCCGCCTACCTCGACTCGACGCCCCACGGCAACATCATCGCCGGCTTCGACAACTACATCAAGGGCACCAGCGGCGCCGGCGCCCAGCGCCGCAAGCAGGGCAACACGGAGCAGCACCGCGTCTTCTCGCGCTCCAGCATCTCCTATCGCCCCGGCAGTGCACGTTTCACCCCGACCCTTTCTTTCCAACCTGTCGCGGAGGCCAGGGGGGGGCGCCAGATGGCTAACACGTAGTGCAGGAGGTCACGACGCCTGGATCTGTCGGTTCGACCCCCGCGTCCCACGCGCCGACGCCCATGTCTACCTCCTTCAAAGACAAGGATGGTGCGACGCCGACGTCGACAACGGCTGGCAAGGGCAAGAAGAATAAGAAGCAGAACGAGGAGGACAGCGAGGCCGAATCCCACGCGCCGAATAAGAAGCGCATCAACTTTGGCGCCGCGCGCAAGTGAAGTTGTTGTTGATGCTGGGAGGATGGCGTTTCAAGGTTGATGGTCGATGAGTCCAAAACAAGAGAAATGGGCAGGCAGCAGGGGTTTGGGACTTGGGAGCGGCGTTTGGCATCATGATTTTCGATACCCGGGTAGAATTTACAGGCAGTTTCTTGCTGGATGAACACCAAGTCCCGTTCGTTGTCGTTGTGTGAGCTTGCCCGCTAATCGACATGCTTGGTAAGGTCACAGTGACCATGTTGCGTCGGCAGAATTTCTCGGTGGTCAGTTTCAGAAAAAGTATCTTTGCACTTGTCGATGTACCACAATCTTCTTCGGAAGGACTAGGGGGTGGATGGAGTTTGTTCAGGTCCAGAGCCAGAGCTTGATCAGGACAGGCCTGGTATATAGTGTACGGCCTTCTCAGCCCGATAGCAATTTACGAGAATCGACGTCTTGATAGAAGGTTCAGCCTCATTTGTTGGGCCTACTGTCATTGAAGAGACCCAATTGTTCGGCATACATTTCATGCGAGAGCTCCCCACCTCATGCTCTAACCTCGAGGCGCATCAGCCAAGGTATGATATCAAGAGGCTAGTAAGCTTGCTGTTAGTCCACCACGTGCAAAGAATCAATGTCAGTCTCCTACCTCCTCGGGGTTGAGAGGTCGCGTCTGTGTTGTCTGTCACTCGACTTGTCCTCGCCGCAGTTCAACTTGGGCCAAGTGAATTACGCAATCCAATGCCCCCGTGTTGTGATAGTCTGGGCTGTGTGTGCATTCAATCCAACCAAAATTGCCCAACGTGCTCTCCACATAACACAATACCAATCGACAACAAAGCTTCTCGGGACGCCCGGGTCCAGAAGTAACCCTCGAAAAGTACTCTCTGCAGCTTCACGAGCCATTGATAGGCATGATCATCTGGGATCGGCATCAGGAGCTGATTGACACGCGGATGCTCTGGCGTAACAACATGGCAAGCCGAATACCCACTGACGATCGGTCAGTATCAATGGCTCGGTACATGACGTCAAGCTGGTCTTTCTGACCTCTTCTTAGACGAAGAGAATGGACTGGGTTGGATCACTGGCCATGTCACGATGCCGCACTCCCGGACGCGACTCCACTGTCGGGCCATCGTGCAGGGGGCACCTTTGCCATCAGAACCTAGAACAAGAACAGGCCCCTATCCGGCTTCGGTAGGGTCTGCACCTGGTATACTTACGAAGCGGCAGATTCAGCCAGAGAACAACACATCACAATGAGCTGCCGACAGGAATCGGCTCATGTGCTGCGCATAGCAGTCGCACAACCACGTGTTGTTCAAGAACCATGCACTGAACTAGTCGAATTCTGGGTTTGGTCAACGCTTATATTCCGGTCTATTCGTAGCAGTGCCTGAATTCTCAAGCTTTCTTCTGTCTTCAAGGGAACTGCCGGGGAAGTGGGAGTGACGGCCCAGCTTGCAGGCAAAGTTCAGTACTGCGTCGCCGTCACTACTGTATACAGTACACACTCATGACGGTGTTCTGGCAGGGTAGAAGGAAGTACGATCTGCACAGCCAAGTTCCATCGGGTTCCAGTATCGCCCCTGGTCCAGGTCCTAATTCGATGTTCCCATGCGCGAATGATGATGACCAGCTTCCAGTTGAAATACGGAACAGCAAGTTCTGACTTCAACCTGACGTTTGGCCCCTGAACTAGTACTGCCGTGCCTGTTCCAGACAAGGACAGAACTCCGAGGTGTTACTTCGAACTCAAGGGCAGTGTTAAACGTTCTCGCACATTGAAAGCATTGATTTCTTTCCTGGACTGCCTGGGCTTCGAGACAAAGTCCTTTGCATCAAAAAAGGCCTCCATGACGGGTTTGCCGAACAAGGTTTGACTCACAACAGCACGCAGCAAGTGGGCATGTAGACGGGCGTGTACCCTACCTACCTAGGTGCTGTACATGACGCACCCAGGCTGGCCGGTACTTCGGTATTGGCACCTGTGTGTAGTATAGCCAGGCAAAGTGGTTCGATACGAGATCGCCCCAGCGTAGCACTAGCCCCTGGGAGGGACCGACACGAGAAAGCCAAAAATGGAAATCGAACAGACCGGGCAGAACGAGCTCACGAGTCAAGGTCTCTGCGTGGGGACGGCAGTAAGTTTATTCTGTATACTATATATAAGAACATTCTTAAAGTTCGCTCTGAAGCGTGACTCCTTTTGCTCCATCATTCAACAGCGTTTTCCCATAAGTCAACCCAACAACCTTTCACATTCGTTCTCCACCGACCACTTACACATTTCCCTTTCTCGTCATGTTCGCCAAGAACCTCGTTGTCGCGCTGGCGCTTGCCAGCTTCACGTCGGCCATTCCCCTCGACGCTCGGGATGACGACTGCCAGACAGCCTACAAAACCTGCATCTCCGACGGCACCCCCGAGGTTGCGTGCTCGTGCGCCCTGACGGCCTGTGTGGGTGAAGACAACGCCCGCAACCGCGAGTACTGCGCCATCGCCATCGCGTCCCTCGATCCGACGCCGACCTCCATCCCCGGCGGCTGCAACCCGGCTCACCCTGGATCCTGCCCCGAGGCCACGCCGACCCCTATCCCGGGTGGCTGCAACCCCGCACACCCGGGCTCTTGCCCCGAACCCACGCCGACTGGCATTCCCGGCGGTTGCAACCCTGCCCAACCGGGCTCCTGCCCTGAGCCTACCTCGACAGAAATCCCCGGGGCCTGCAACCCGGCGGACCCCGGCTCCTGCCCTACGCAAACGCAAACAACCATCACCCGGCAGCCGGCAGCCAACACCACCTTGCCGGGGCCTCCCATCGGTACCAACGGTGCCGAGCGCAACGCAGTGGGCCTTGTGGCCGTTGCCGGACTTTTCGCTGCCCTTCTCTAGACGCGTCGTACATAGATAGAATATAGTATAGAATAATGGTTAATGTACATTCATGAATGCTCTCTTGAATTCGAACCAAGTGTGTACACAGAGGGGCATGTGCTGGGTCAATAAAGAGCGGTTTGACCAACGTGCATATAGGTGCACCTGGTCAAAGAACGAAACTCACAATCAAGTTGTGGCTGGAGTTCTTTCTGTATAACTCGCAATGTTGGTCCCTTGATGCCCCATGCAGGAGCTCAGTGTCGCGCTTTATCTAGGTGCCTACGCGGAACATGCTCTGCGAAGATATATTCGGTTGATAGCGGGTTCACTCACCAATTGTGCAACGTCTTGTGTGCCCATCATATTCCACCTCGACTTTGGAATCGACAGCCTGGAAAGCCATTGGCCAACATGACGGACGGCAAGATATAGGTAAGGTGCCTGGTGCCGTTGGCAAGCACGACTGACATGCCGTTGGCAAGCACGACTGACATGCCGATGTGAGCCAAGCCGGGATCGGCGCTAGCTGCATGCTGCCCACCAAGCTTCAGCGCCCCCGCCTTCCTTCGTTCCCGCTGGAAGCTCCCAGCAAGCGACATGCGGGGTAGCTCCTGATCAGGCCACAGAGGTGTGCATCCCTGACCCCGCAAGCAAGCAAGCAACGGATGACTGGCCACGAGCCCAGATCTGTCACACGCGTGAGTCGGTGAGGTGAGCCTCACATCTAACCCCCACTTCCTATACAAGCTGAGGAGCTCCCTCTCCATCACGTCACCTTCTGCTTTCATCCTGTCACGGTTGCGACGGCATCCTACGTTACGCTGAATCAGTCGATCACCAATTGAGTGGGCTGCACTGCATTACCTGAAAGCGAGGGGCTCAGTCCATTATCATCATCTGTAAGTGACCTCCCATTCGAGGGGTTCCAGAGCTTTGCAATCAAAGCAAACAGAAACTGCTCACCTTGATTCACAACGGCAAGGCTGACAAGATGCTAGTACCACCGTGGCTCTGCCTTCAGCTTCTCGCGCTCTCCTCCATGATGACTATACAGGCCAGCAAATTCACCCCCGAGGTGCTTCTCTCGGCGCCGAGGCGGTCCTCCGCCGTGCCCAACCCCTCAGGCAACAAAGCCTTGTACACCGTGAGCACATGGCGCGGAGCTCCGACCTGCGTGTCAATGCTCACTGTGTTCTCAGGTGTCTTCCTACTCTTTCCAAACCCACAGCAAGACGAGCCAGATTCGCGTCATTGATGTCCACAGCGGCCATTCGACGCTGTTGTACGAGGATGGCTCGTACAGCGAGCCGACGTGGATCAGCGACAAGGACATTCTCTTCTTCAAGAGCGGCGACAAGGGGTCCACGAGCTTGATGCTCGGACACTCCGGCCTCCCACAAGTGTAAGGAAACATTTGTGAGTCAAAGGCCATTCACTAACCTCGCATTCAGAGTCCAAGAGATTCGCAACTTTGACGGCAGCCTATCCAACCTCAAAGCCTACCGCATTTCAGATGAAGAGGTTGCCATTGTCTGTTCCGCCCCGACGACTCTTTCCGGCGCCATGTACCGCCCCTCGGCTGAGACCAAGGCTCTGTCTTCTGCCAAGGCATACTCCACCTTGTACGCCCGTCACTGGGATGCGTGGCAGACGGAGAACAGGAACTCTCTGTGGTACGGCCTGCTCAAGAAGAAGGGCAGCTCCTATGAGCTTCAGGGGCCCGGCTTGGTCAATGCTCTTAATGGCACCAAGCTCGAATGTCCCGTCCCGCCCTTCGGAGGCACGGCCGACTTTGACATTGGCCGGTCTGGTCTCATCTTCGTGTCGCGGGACCCCGACGTATCACCTGCCATCTACACCAAGACGAATCTCTACTTCATACCGCTCAAGACGTTCATCGAGGAGAAGCCTGCTCCGCCTCAGGAGGTCAAGACGGGCAACCTCCAAGGCTACGCAGCTGCGCCCGTCTTCTCTCACGACGGCAAGCAAGTCGCCTTCACCAAGATGAAGAGCAAGCAGTACGAGTCTGACAAGCCGCGTCTGCTCCTGATCCCCGATATCACCGAACTCACCGGTGTACAGGAGTTCTACGTGACGAAGGACGAGGTTGGCGGCTGGGATGCACGCCCTGAGTGGATCACCTGGAGCAAAGACGATAAGGAGCTTTACGTTGCGGCCGAGAAGCACGGGCGCGTCAGGCTGTGGAAGCTGCCGTCTTGCCCGGAAAAGGCCGTAGAAGAGCCCGAGTCTATCTTTGAGAAGGGGTCCATCATCGAGGCCCGACTCCTTCCCGGCAGTGGTAAGCTCCTCGTCAGCTCCAACTCGCAAATTGAGAGCTCGCTCTTCTCCGTGCTGGACCCGTCAAGCAAGAAGCTGGATTACGTGTCCTCGAGCTCCAAGCACGGCAAGACATTCGGCCTGTCGGAGAAGCAGCTGGAGAACTTCTGGTTCAAGGGTGCCGAGGGCTACGATGTGCAGGCGCTTGTTGTCAAGCCGTCCGATTTTGATGAGAAGAAGAAGTACCCTCTGGCGTTCCTCATCCACGGCGGACCACAGGGGGCGTGGAACGACAATTGGAGCACGCGTTGGAATCCGGCCATATTCGCCGAGCAGGGCTACATTGCCGTCATGCCCAACCCCGTGGGCAGCACGGGCTACGGGCAAAACCACACAGATGCGATCCAGAGCCAGTGGGGTGGTCTCCCCTATGTAGATCTGGTCAAGTGTTTTGAGCACATTGAGAAGAAGCTCGATTATGTCGATATTGACCGGGCCGTGGCGCTGGGTGCTTCTTACGGCGGCTACATGATCAGTGAGCGCACACCCTCGTGCGGATGAGCGACAACCTATGCTGATACGCGTCCAGACTGGATCCAGGGCAACGAGCTCGGACGCAAGTTCAAGGCGCTCGTGTGTCACGACGGTGTCTTTTCGACGCTCAACCAGTGGTCGACGGAGGAGCTCTTCTTCCCGCTGCACGACTTTGGGGGCCCGATCTGGGAGAACCGGGCGACATATGAGAAGTGGGACCCGGCGACGAAGCTGGCCAACTGGTCGACGCCACAGCTGGTCATCCACAATGAGCTCGACTATCGGCTGCCCATCTCGGAGGGCCTCGCCATGTTCAACGTGCTGCAGGCGCGGGGGGTGCCAAGCCGGTTCCTCATGTTCCCCGACGAGAACCATGTAAGTGCATTGTCTGGCTAGGCCATGTTGTAGGATGTCGCTGACTCTGGGTAGTGGGTTCTCAAACCGGAGAATTCGTTGGTGTGGCATAAGGAGGTTCTTGGTTGGATCAACAAGTATTCTGGTGTAAGCAAGTAAAGCAGGCATGTTGCGTGTCTCCTCCTTGGCCTAAGACCAAGTGACCTAGGACCTAGGCGCTGCGGGTTCTTCGAGACAGGCTACGGACAAGGGGGCTGCTGTGGTTATAACAGGAAGGTCTAGCACGGAGTATATGTTGGATTTCGCGCCGTCAATTTGTTCATTTACTTGTACGAGTTCATTTGAGATTCAGACTTGCCACTTGGACCAAGGGAACAGTGACTCGATTCGAGATGACATGTCTACTGCATATCTACTGTATACCGACTGCATGTCTACTGCATATACTGCATATACTGCATGCCGACTGCATATACTGCATACCGACTGCATGTGGACAGCATGTCATGGGGGGCAGTCGACATGGTCATGATGGGACGGCCAGCACCTTGGTACAGTGTAGATATGTGCGAATAGTACGTGAGCACGGTAACCTCCAACGTCTGTTAGGCCGTGCCTCGCTGAAGCTCGCAAAGCTGATCCTCCTCTGTTGCACCTCTTCACCAACGAGACCGACACTAGGCACGTGGGGAATCTTGTGCCAGCCCAATCTTGGGTCCAGAGCTCCAATTGCGATTCGCGACTACCGAAACATCATGCTCTGCGCCGCAACGCGCCTTCCCAGCTGGTGACAGACCATACAGCCGATTCTCGACCAAGGAAGTCTCCCCTTCTGTCTCGAACCCCGAACTCGAACCTCGAACTCGAACCTCGAACTCGAACCTCGAACTCGAACCTCGACAACGAAGCCATCTAGACCTTCCCACCGACACCATCACACCCACGGTTTGAAACTCGCGACCGCACCCCTCTCCATTCATCGAATCCCCAACGCCGCGAGCAACACGAAGAGCAGCACATCGCCACGAGACCGCCGGCCACCATGGCCCCCCCGACACCCCTCTTCCACGCCCTCCTCCGTCCCTGCATCCTCCAGATCCTGCGCGCGACAGGCTACCACGCGACCCGCCCCGCCGTCCTCGACACCCTCACCGAGCTCGCCGCCCGTTACCTCCTCACGCTCTGCCGCCACACGGCCGCCCGCGCCCTCGACCACAACCCCCACCACGACCCCGCCGACGAGCACCCCCTGCGCGTCGCCGACGTGCGCATGGCCCTCGAGGACGTCGGCGCCCTAGGCGTCGTCGAGCGCTTCGTCGAGCCCGACGACGGCGGCCGCCCCGCCACCGCGCCGTCCGGAGCTCCACCCGAGGACAAGACCTCGTCCACCAACACCACCACCGCCACCTCGTCCTCCTCCTCCTCCTCCGCCTCCGCCTCCGCCTCTGCTGCCGCCTACCGCGCCTGCCGCGGCGACGACGACACGCGCGGCGTCGACGAGTTTGTCGCCTGGTTCGCCGGCGCGCGGTGCCGCGCCATTCGGGACATGGTCGTCGACGGCATCGGCGAGGGCGTCGTCGGCACGGGCAATGCAGCGCAGGACGGGGACGTGCCTGCGGGGGATTACCTCCACGGTGAGCTCTCCCTTTCCTTTCTCTCGGCTCCCTTCCCTTCCTCTTTTCTTCTTCTTCTTCTTTTCTTCTTCTTCTTCTTTTTCCCGTGTGCTCCCACGCGCCGTGCTTCGTAGTCACGCTAACCGCCCGCGCGCCCAGCACTCATGTCTCGCCACAGCAAGTCGGCCGAGGACAGCAAGTTCCACGACACGATCCTCGGCCGCGGAAACGAGCACGCCAGCGACGTCCTCGTCGAGGGGGGCGACCTGTCGAGCATCGCCGGCTGGATGGACATGATGCGCGGGCCCTCGCCGCCCGGCTCGCCGACGCCGTCCGGAGGGTCTAGGCCGCCGAGCTCCGGGCTGAGTTCCGTCGGCGACCGGCTCGGTGACGAGGGCGACGGCATGGACCTCTCCTAGGGGACGTGACGAACTAGCTCCGTTCTCGTCCCAAATGAGGCATTGGTTGTTTTGGGGGCATGCGGCTTTCACACTTCATCGATTAGGGGGATGGAGAAGCATAGCGTAGGCGTTTCGGACTTGGGGAAATCAAAAAGAGGTCGGCAGGCGCGCGTCTCACCATGCGGCGCAGGCATTGCAACACCTCGCGGACAGGCACATGGTCAGTGGCAGAGGGAACCCGGCATTACTTGAGCATCGTTTAATTCAAGAGCATCAACGAGGCGCCATCTGACTACTATGATTGGAGAGTAACAAACGTGTTTCAACCTGTGATCCTAAATAGCCTCGCTGCAGGAACACTCGGCACCTATCGCCTCGCCTCGGCCGCGCGGTCCAGGTTGAACGCGGCGCTGATGAGCGCCAGGTGGCTGAACGCCTGCGGCGTGTTGCCCAGCTGCTCACCCGAGCGGGCAATCTCCTCGGAGAACATGCTGAGGTGGTTCGAGAAGCTCAGGGCATTCTCAAATATGTTGACGGCCCGCGGCAGGTAGCGCGGCTCGTAGACGCTGGCGCGCGTCATGGCCTCGACGAGCCAAAAGGTGCACATGCTGAAGGCCCCCTCGCGGCCGCCGACGCCGTCCTCGGAGAGTTCCGTGTCGTAGCGGTAGACGAGGCCGGCGCTAGTGAGGCCGCCCTTCTCGGGGGGCATGAGGATGCGATCCATCGTGCTGAGGAAGCGCGGGTCGTTGGGGGCGATGAAGAAGACAAGCGGCGCGATCAGGATGGACGAGTCGATCATCCTGTTGTTCTCGTAGCTCTGCACAAAACTCTTCATCTCCTTGTTGTAGCCTGGTTGTCTGGGTCAGCTTTCTGCACGTCTCGAGTCGTCAGTCCTGTGAAAGAACGCACCCTTGTCCATGATCTCCTCCATCAGATTATCCCGTGCCGCGAGCCACTTGGCGCGGCTCGGGCAGGGCAGGTTGCGCTTCTCGGCGAGACGAATGCCGCGATCAAAGGCTACCCAGAGCATGACTTTGGAGTATACAAAATTCTGCTTTTGGTTTCGAACCTCCCAGATCGACATGTCGGGCACTGAAGAAACATTAGCAGGGCGCTTTTGCGCAGGCACAGCATCGCTACGTACAGTTGACGAGCGTAAGCACGAAATCTTGAGTGCACTGGTTAGCTCCAATGCATAAGACTAGCAGCTGGGCTACATACCAAGCATATCTCTGACGGCGCACCACTGATCCCAGCTGATCGGCTTTCCGTACTTGTTGTACAGATAGATGGCATCCATCAGCTCGCCGTAGATATCAAACTGCTGGTGATCGGCCGCACCGTTTCCAATGCGCACGGGTTTGCTACCGCGGTAGCCATCGAGATGACCGAGCTCGCTCTCGGGAATGTCCGTCTCACCCCGGATGGTGAACATGATGGGCAAAGCCCCCTCAGGGCCACGGGACTTCAGAAAGCGTTCGCTGATGAAACCCATGTAAGCATCGGCTTCCTCTGAATACCCTAGGCGCAGCAGAATATAGATAGTGAAGCTCGAGTCTCGGACCCACGAGAATCGGTAGTCCCAGTTCCTGCCCGATCTGTCAGTTCCGAAGACCCTTTGTGTCACACAGGTGAGCAACGCGCATACCTGACACCGCCAATGTCCTCGGGGACAGAGAAAGTCGGAGCTGCAATGATGGCGCCCGTCGGCTCATAGGTAAGCATCTTCAGGATCATCAGGCTCCGCTGCACCACTTCGCGCCAGCGTCCCTTGTACTTGCTCCGCGAGATCCACTGGTACCAGAACGACTGTGTGTCGTGCTGCTGCTTGTCGAGCACATCCGTCGTGACATTGTCCGTCACATGGTTCGGCATGTCCTTTCGGAGCACAAAGGAGACGGCTTGGCCCTCGTGGACCTTGATGCGGGCTACAACACCCTCGCCGGGCATGCCGTCTCGCTTCACCGTGTGAAAGCATATCCCTGGGGCAGCGCCTGCTTCGACATCGCCACGATCGACAATGACGTCGAGTTGCAATTTTGTGTCCTTGCTGTGGAAAGTGGCCGTCCTGCTCTCGGCTCCTGGGTTGTAGGACGTCTGGAGGAGGGTCGTCGTATGCCCCTCCTGGGCGTAGTTGAAGGCCGGAAATATTTCAACATCTAAGGTGCTGCATCAGCAGTCGGAGGTCACCGCCCGAGGGACGTCATACTGACCCAGCTCGAGTTCTCCTCGGATACACTCAACACGACGGATGAGCCACTTCTTGAGCTCCTCCTGGATCTGGTACGTCTCACGGTAGGCGCTATGGCGGACATCCTTGAAGATGGCCGTGGCAGTTTTGGGACGCGGAAAGAAATCGATGAGATCAACTACACCCTCATCATGGATGTACCTCGTCTGGAGAATATTCGAAGACGGTAGGTACTGCTGCCTGGACACAGATGAGGTTCTGAGCCTGTTTCGAGTGTACATCCGACTCACTTGGTGGTGCATTGCATCTCAGCGGGGGGGCTGATGCTAAAGTGACCTCCCTTGTCCTTATCCAAGAGGCGACAGAAGACGGAGGGCGAGTCAAAATCAGGCCTACCCTTCTAGTCAATTCTGGGCCTTTATCTGTAGGAGCAGCGCCGCGGCGGCACCCACCAGCACATGAAGTCCACGGAACCGTTCATGCCGACGAGGGCACATGTGTGCATGTTTCCGATCATGCCATAGTCCTCAATGGGCAGGTAACCCGTGTTGGAGCTATTCTGGGCGTGTTTGGTGGAGCATTGATGAGCCATGGTGATGGCAAGATAGCTGCTGGCTGGTGTTGATGATCTGTAGATATGGGCCGGATAGGGCGGAGATGGAGGCAACCGTGAAGTGACTGCCGTCAGCGCGAGGGAGTGAAATGACAAAAAGAGGTGTGATGGACCAGTGTCTTGTTCAGCTCGGGTTCAAGCCAGCTGCGGAACTCCACGATGGCTTTCTGAGGACTGTCCGAGGGCTTGTCCCCGCGGTGGGCATGACTGATCTAGATCCAGTCCCAGCTCGGCCGGCACCTGCGACTTGGGGTTCAGCCTTTCGTACCCTTCCCTAAGTACCTTACCTAAGGTACCTTAGGTAACGAGGTACCTTGTATTACCTACCGACCTACATGGTACGTAATCTTTCGAACCTAAAGCTCCGTTAGTGCTGGGGTAGCTTGGGTAGGTAGGTATGGAATGTCAATTAGCGTCGGGCGACCTACGTCAAACTTAGTCAGCAGCGTCGGTCTCCTCTCATGGCATCATGACCTCTTCACCGGCCGAGAGACCTCAGGAATGTCCCAAATGCTCTCGTCAACCGATCGACCTCGTTCTTGGCTCCCATAGTTCAAACCATGCGGACGCACAAAGTCTTGTCCATGTTCATTTAAATGGCCTTGATCAGCATAATGTCTGAGGTGACCAATCTGCGTCGGCTTTCATGATTGCTTTTATCCCCAATCCTGTAAGATGTACTGAGTGGCTGAACACCTTGGCCTGCAGAGTTGTGGTTGATCTCTAAGTGCAGCTAATCCCGAAGCAAAACTGGGTTGCCTGTGCTAGCAAGGCAACGTCTGCTGATGCCGCATGTGTGCCCCCCAAGTTGGCACCCAAACCGCGAAGAAAGCAAGAGGCACAATATGGAAATTACCATGATGATCGATTCATAGCCCTCGGATCTGCGGACAGCATTCAAGCTAGATACCCTTGGACGCTTCCAAACTAACAGCTAAGGCGGAGCAGAGAGGGCTGATAGTGTGAGGATTGTTCATGACAGCTGATTCACCCCACCGACGAGTTCAACTGTCAGGATTATGCCATGTTCTTTCGCTATTGTCTCTGGAAGCTTGGCTGTGAGCCTTGGATTTACACCAAGACGCCGTCGAGGCGTGTACAATGAAAAAGAAACAGGAAACGATAAAAGAGTGTCATGGCAGTATTCTTACCGTGAAGATGTCGAGTGAGAATCGAGAATAGAACAACCGTAAAATACTTGGATTAGTGTCATCTACACAAAGAGGATGGAAGGTGGGCTCCTTATTCTTTCCCAGTCATACCACACATACATTGATCCGTGATGAAAGCGGGTGCGCACGAATGCTCTCTTGGGTCCGGGATGGCCAGGCCGCCACAACTCTATTAGCCTATTGTTTGCCTAACTGGTCGACTTTCACGTGATGTCCCGTGCCTTGGACTTGAGCGCACGTGCCATAGGCATAGTGAATACATGCCACAGGTATTTGGGATAACGGTTCATAGGTAGTTTTCCAAAATTGGCAACTGTATTGCCAGGAAGGGCTCGTCATTTCCAGTCACGACAATCGAGATGGATCAAGCCGAGCAGCCAGATTTCAGACGAACTCAGAAATCCTTCGTTGCGCTGTGTGCGAACACCCCGGCAGCGACCGAGGGTGTGTCTGTTTCGCGACACTGGGAGACGATCTCAGCGTCGTTGGAGAGATGATGCCGTTCAGAAATAATGACGTTTAGACATGATTACATCAAGACATGATCCGGCTGGCTATATTGTGATTTGCATACCATGTAGGCATGTGACACGTCCATATACTAACCGGGGGCAGTTGCATAATCCTGAAAACGCAGAGGCAAACGCAGTCAAGCAGTGAGACTGGGTAGGTGGCTCGATCCTGAAAGCTTCCAGCACGGTCCCAGGAAAGGGAACCCTCGCATGGGGTGCAGAAGCAGTGCGTTGGCATCATGCGACACACGATGGCCCCCTCATCACCTGCATCTCCTCGTCCCCAGTTGTCCCTTAGTCCCAAATCTTTACAAGGGGGTGGTCCCCGAGCCTCCCTCAAGTCCCGCCTGTGGCCGACCCTAATGAGCGACCCAACTGCAAGCGAGTCCACTGGAGATGCGCCAAGACACCCCGCCGATCCACGACACACACACGGCAAGGGCCAACGGAAGGGAAGGACCATCCCTTCCGCAGGTCGCCCAGCCACTCCTGGCTTGCCACCCATACCTTTCTGATCCTAACCGCCTGCCCAGTCCGAGGACGAACGTGCCTGGCTCGGGTAGCAGCTGCCCAGCAAACCGACTGACTCCGCACTTGTGACCGCCAGAAGTGACCCACTGGTGGATCCCGCCCAACCCTGCTGTGCGCGAAGTGGACCGTGTGGTGGCTGTAGCCGTGGACCTGCTGTGGTATGGTCAACCAGCACGCTGGTGACTGGTGACTGGCGACTGAGGACTGGAGACTGGAGACTGGAGCCCCTGGGCACATCTCGTCTCCTCACTCCAAGACAGGACTGGACCAGTACTGCCACTTGGACCGGCACTGGATCGTGCATCGGGACCAGGCACGAATTGAAAACATGACACCTCCTTCACCATCTCTTGACCGCCTTCTTGACCCTACATCTGCTTCTCCTCCCTCCTCCGCGCGGTCACGACCATCCCTAGATACCCCATCCTCCGACTCCCACAACGAGGACCAACCCACTCGCCCATCCTCTCCCTCTCCTCTCGACGGCGTCTGCGATCTCGAACCGCTTCCCGAACCCCTGTCTGGTCCATCCACCCACGCGACCACCTCGAATGCTCTCACACACTCGATAGCGTCCTCCTCGGCTTCCTCTCCTTTCGCCGCCACTGGTCCCTCGTCCGGGCCCATCATTGAGATGGAACCAATGACCGGTGCCGGCCATCGCCGGCGCCGCAGCAGTCTCATGCAGAGCGTCGGCGCAAGCACGCCTGACAGAGCCGCCCGCCCTCGCGCACAGTCGCTTCGAACACCCGGCGCCCGAGCGCCAGGCGGCCTTGCTGAGGAACCGAAGATCTCGGAGGAAGCTCCAGGGGCTTTCCCATCAGCCTCTGCAGATCCCGCGGACGACAGTTTCTCGGACGAAGACCTACATGATGACGAGGAGACGGGGCTCACAAAAAAGGACAAGAGGCGGAAGCGGCAGAGGAAGAGACGCAACACACTTCTCGACCAGAGGATAGCAAGAGGAAGGTGATATCACAGCGGAGAGAAGAAGGAGGGCCGACCACAACGTCGTCAGGAACCTGGCCATCAACGCTTCGTTGATCCTGTTGTGGTACATTTTCTCACTGAGCATCTCTTTGGTACGTCGCGACATCCCCATCAGCCCGTTCTCTCCGTGCGCTCCGAAGCTGACTCTCCGTCCCCGTTGTCCTACAGTACAACAAGTGGATGTTCGATAAGGATCGTCTCAATTTTGCGTTCCCCCTATTCACAACAAGCTGTCACATGCTTGTCCAGTTTGCCCTGTCCGGCCTGGTTCTCTACTTCATCCCATCATTACGACCTCAAAATGCCCAACACAACTCGGATGCCGGTCGGTCACGACACGAGACGGAACCCGATCGGCCCTTGATGTCGAAACTATTCTACCTCACGCGCATCGGACCTTGCGGCGCGGCAACAGGGCTCGACATTGGCTTGGGCAACACGTCCCTGAAGTTTATCACCTTGACCTTCTACAGTACGTCATCAAAGACTCTGACGCCGTCCGTCATTGCTGCCATTGCTAACCTTGTAAAGCCATGTGCAAGTCTTCGTCTTTAGCATTCGTCCTGATCTTCGCCTTCATCTTCCGACTCGAAAAACCGACCTGGAGACTTGTTGCCATCATAGCCACCATGACTGCCGGCGTCGTTCTCATGGTATCAGGCGAGGTAGAGTTCAAGCTCGGTGGCTTCGTCCTCGTCATTTCCGCCGCCTTCTTCTCTGGTTTCCGCTGGGCCCTCACTCAGATTCTTCTACTGCGCAACCCTGCCACATCCAACCCCTTTTCTAGCATTTTCTTCTTAGCACCCGTCATGTTTGTGGTTTTGATGGCGATCGCCATCCCCGTCGAAGGATTCCCTGCTCTCTTCGAAGGACTCAAAGCACTCGTCAATGAGTGGGGCATCATCATGACCCCCCTTTTCCTGCTGTTCCCCGGCTGTATCGCCTTTCTCATGACGGCTTCCGAGTTCGCTCTGCTGCAGCGGACCTCAGTGGTCACGTTGTCGATTGCTGGAATTTTCAAAGAGGTCGTCACCATTTCAGCCGCCGCCCTCGTGTTCGAAGACCATCTCACTCCCGTCAACGCCGTTGGGCTTGTCACCACCATGCTTGCCATTGTCGCCTACAACTGGATGAAGATTCGCCAGATGCGACAGGAGGCTCAAGAGGATGTCCATCGTGGACACGCGGAGCCCGACAGCGCTTCCAACGACAGCGGGAGTGACACCGAAGACGTCGTCGGCGAGCAAGCTGGTCTGCTAGCACGGTCGAGTGCCGATATTGACGATAACCTCGTTACTCTCGATGGCGACATTATTCCCAATCCCGCTCAGGACGCACATTTTGAGGCGCAGGAGTCTCGAACGGCACAAGCTCATAGGGATAATTGAGCAGCCCATGACTGGTCGTTCGTTGAGAGAGAAATTTTTCTATAGGTATTTCGGCTTTTTTTCCCCGGAAGGGGCCAGCATGCGACGCCTTAGAATGGCGAGCGCTGAAGCAGAAGATGAGAAGAAGACGGCGATACATAAGCCTCGTGAGCCTTTTGGATCTAGGCAGAAGGGCCAGAGGCATGCCGTATGGTGCGTGGAGGAGCAGATCACGTGCGTGCTCGCAAGAGGCGATTGTGCTGCTAACTTTGATCTGATGATACCCCGATACAACTCCGGACGAGGATTGACACATGACTATGTGCTCCCTGATTGAGTATCAAATTACTTTATCGAATCTGAATGCCCCATGCGCCCTAAGCGCCTTATCCATGCAGCGTGCTTTGTATAGAAAGTGTTGCAACACAAGACTGTTGCCCAAATCACTGAACCCTTCACGCCGTTGCGCATTTGTTCTTCCCGAACGGGCATTATTGCCCTAACCCAGCAGGCGGAGGCCATTCTTCGTCTTCTGTCCCGGCTTCGATACGCCCCCGTGGTGTACCGGCCCCAAGGTAGCATCGCCGCCGCCCTCCTGCCTGCCGCCCACGCCGCTGCTGCTGCCACCGCGGTTCTTGTTCTTGTGGTCCTTGCCGTGCTTCCCACGGCCTTTCTCCTTGACGTTGGTGACCTTGATTTCCGTGTTGGCCTTGCGCACGACGACGGGGTGGCTCTGGATGTACTTGCCGTTCATCTCCTTGGCAGCCTGGAAAAAGTCGTCGGCGTCGCTAAAGGCAACAAAGCCGAAGCCCTTGGACTTGGACGTGCGCTTGTCGCGGACGACGCGGGCCTTGGCGACCGAGGGCCAGCGCGCAAAGGCCTTGAGGAGGGACTCGTCCGTCACCTCGCCGGCGAGGTTGCCGACGAAGAGGCGCAGGTGCGAGGGGTCCCACTCGACGAGCGTGTCGTCTGTCCACTTTTTGCCGCCGCCCTCGCGGACGACCGTCTTCTTCCTGTCGCCTATGGCGGCGGCTGCTGCGGCTGCTGCGGCGGCGGCGGCCGCCGCGGCGTCGGGGTCCGGGCCGGGGATGGTCGAAGGCGCGGAGCCCGGGGTTGATGAGGAGGCGCCTGTGGCGTCGCGGCCGGAGTAGGCGCTCTGCCATTGGGCTATTTGGGCGGCGAGCTCGGGGTCGTACGAGGGGTCGGCGGCGGCGGCCGTGCCGGGGGCTGGGAAGGGGTTACGGATCTGGGGGCCGGCGCCATAGGATGCTGCGCTCGCTGGCGCGCTGTAGGCGCCTTGTTGGTAGGTGCTGCTGCTGCTCGGTTGCTGCGGCTGCTGGGGGTACCGGTACGGTTGTGACTGCGCCTGGTAGGGGGCGGCGCTCATGGAGGATGCGGGCTGCTGGTAGGTGGGGTAGGAGGAAGGGCCGTACTGGCCGGCGGCCGGGGCGCTGCCGGCGCCATAGCTGGGAGCGCTGGAGTAGGAAGATTGGGCGGGTGTGAAGGCCGGCTTGAAGGAGGACTTGAAGCCGCCGCCGCTGCCGCTGCCGCCTGATGATGCGCTGGCTGAAGGAGGCGGACGGGCGGGCAGTGACGGGTGCGACGAGTTGGATGAGGCGTTTGAGATACCTGGAGGGGGCGGGTAGGCCATGATGAATGAACTGTGCTTTTTGGGAATAAAACGTGGTTTGGTGCTGGCTGTTATGGAACGTACCTCTGAGCCGGTTTCCTGCTCAAAGAGTGCCTGCGTTTGAGTGGAGGGTATTTTTTAATCTTTCAATCGGTACTGCGATTGTCAAAGTGACAATATCTCGGTCGTATTGAAGTTTTGGCGCAAACTGTAATGGCAATCGCGTTGTCGTGATGTTGATGCAGGTGGAAAAATCCGTATCCACTTCAGCCTTGGACGGATGGGAGCCTGGTGCGGGATGTGTGGCGTCCTCGCGGTGAAATCACGTGCACAGAGGCTGCGATGTGTGGCTGGAGCGTACCAACCCCCCACGCTGTTCATGGTTCTCCGGAAAATTTGGTCGCGAGGGAATTGTTGGCCATGACATCTCCTTGACTTCTGCCGGGCTAATCAGTCATGTCACGGCGGAGTCTCCGCGGAGTCTTCGGGCGGGCGCCCGGTGGCTCGGTGCAGCCCCGAAGACGGCTGGATGCGACATTTTTGTCACGATTCATCCGTATTTAGCGTGGATCCCAACGGATAAGAACGCCTGAGCTCAATTCGCTGGGCGCGAGCTTCGAGCCTCACAGGCCTCCCGGATGTCAGGAGGGGGGGGGATTCATTAACATAGACGCCCGAGGCGGAACCTCCACGAGTGAGGCAGCAGAATTGTCGGGCAGAAACCGGAATGCAAATGCTGGCTGTCCTCGAGGATTCCGGAACGCTTGGGAGCAACGCCATCTCCAGGCCGAGGCAGGGGTGCCAGGCGAGGCTGAGAACATGACCATGATGCCCCTCAAAAGAAACGCATTTGCGAGGGGCACGCACTACCACCATCAGTAGGGCCGGAGCTTCCGCGCATAGAGGGAGGCGGTGCGATTTAGGCCGACGGCAGCCCGACGGTCAGTCATGACCAGAGGCAACTCAACGAGGTCGCAGGCGTTCCCATTTTATTCGGCTTGGAAGGTTGGGGGTCATTTGGGGGTCACTTCATACCAATTGGTGCAGGTGCGCCGGATTTCGAAACCTCTGGGCTCTTACATTACAACCAGCCTTGGGAGGTGTCCGTAGTCGCAGTCGCAGATCGCGTTCCCTGGAACACCCGCAGTGTGAGGCAGAAACTGGCATGGCGAGCGGCCAATGGGATGGTTCGGCCGAAGCGGATTCGGACCACAGTGCCCAAGGGTTCTAGTTCTAGGTAGAGGTTAAGGGGGGTCCACGATGGCTTCGTGTCCCACGTCACGTCCACCGGCGGCCGGCCTGGTTTGTTTGGGCTGGACCAGTGATGCGGGCCATGGGCCGCTTGGTTCAGGCTGCCCCTCCATGCGCGCCCATGACGACGCTGCTCTGAGGAAGTGGCGCGCGGTAGATGATGCTCGGTGCTTGATCAGCAAGGATTTCGCAAGTCATGTTTGATGTTTGGGGTGTATGCGACGTTTGTCCAGGAGGCACCATGGTACTGTGTAGCAAGGTACTGTGTAGCAAGGTACTGTGTAGCAAGGACGGCATATTTTTTTTTCTCTCCCTCTTTTTCTCCCGCCCCCAATCTGTCAGTAAATGGTTCGTTCTCTCCTTGCTATGTATGTGTGCACATGGATCGCGGAAAGCATATTTGCTTTACTGTATGATGCTGATTGCAAGCGGCAGTCGAAGCGAAAGCAGAGCGAGCTCAGCACCCCACGCGCGCCTGGCAATCTTCAGCGTCATAATCGATCCAATGCCCGCTAAAACCCTACGTTGGACCGTGGCACGCCGCGGCGTTAAGCCCAGTGCAGACAAGAGATTCTCCATGTCGCATATCCTAGCAACCGGGATCAAGACCCAAAATCACCCCGCCGCTCACAGCAAGCAGGTAACGTAAGGTAAGTACCTAAGGAGGGGAGAGGGGAGAGGGGGGAAGGGGGAGGGGGACAAAAGGCAGGCCCCACCCCTCATTGCCCCTCCCTCACTCACCTCCCGGCCAGGCACTGTGACACCCGCCCGATGATTGGGGCGCTCTGTCATCGCCCATCCCATCCTCTCCCCATGAGCCTACCTAGAGCCTACCTAGAGCCTACTTACCTAGGTAGAGCCTGGAGCCCAAGCCTGGAGCCTATGAGCCAGGAACTCCGTAATAATAACTTCCGCACCCCCCTCAGCTCTTGTCCTGCTCCGGTTCGGTTCGGTTCGCCTGGAGATAAATATCTACACCTCTCCTCCCACCACTTTCTTCCCTTCCCGCTGAACCCACCTTGCTGCTGTAACTTCAATCGCAAGCAATCCGATCCCACCAAACGACCTTCATCATGTCTGGCGCCGTGTAAGTCAAAAGCTCCTCTACCCCTCCATCTGGCTCCTCTGCCGCTACCTCTACCTCTCTGTCTTTGCCTCTGGTTCTGGCTCAGGTTCCTGGCTCTGGTTCTGGTCTCTCTGCCTTTCCTCGTCCTTCGTCATGACGGAAACCCGAGCGATTACCCCAACACCCCGCCCCTCAACCCTTTTTTGTTGCTCGCCCAGGCTCTGGCACCTTCCACGATGACACGGCAGTCAATTCCCGCAATCTCGCGCCCAGGAAGCCGACTCTCGTGTCATTTGTCGAAAATGCCATTTTCTGCGGCAGCAATGCTGGAGGCACTGCGCTTGAGAGTGACGGCGCCTCGAGCCAGTCCAAGAAGAATCCCAAGCCAGATCACCCCTCCTCCCCCCCACTTGCCTTGATTCCCCTCGCTCTGACGCCTCCATCGCCCCGACCCAGCGCTCGTCTCGTCAACATTGTTGGCGGCGTCGTTCCAGCTCTGTCTTCCTCCGTGACGAAGTCCAGTACTGACAATGTGGCAAGCGCGGATCTCGGCCTTGTTGGCCTTGCTGTCATGTAAGTTTCTGAAGCCGCCCCTCCTTTCGAGCTGTACCGTCTCTGCCGGAACAGTCCCCCCCCCCTCCCCCTTTCCGCCCCGCGCCCGTGCTGAGACCGTTGATCAGGGGACAGAACATCATTCTGAACATGGCCGACCATGGCTACACCATTGCGGCCTTCAACCGTACCGTTGCCAAGGTCGACCGGGTTCCTCGCGAACGAGGCCAAGGGAAAGTCCATCGTTGGCGCCCACTCCATCGAGGAGTTCGTCTCCAAGCTCAAGACGCCCCGCCGTGTCATGCTCCTCGTCCAGGCCGGCAAGGCCGTCGATGACTACATCGAGACCCTCATTCCCCTCCTCGAGCGCGGCGACATCATCATTGATGGCGGTAACTACAACTTCCCCGACTCCAACCGCCGCACCCAATACTGCGCCAGCAAGGGCCTGCGCTTCGTCGGCTCCGGTGTCTCCGGTGGTGAGGAGGGTGCCCGCTACGGTCCCTCCATGATGCCCGGTGGTAACGAGGAGGCCTGGCCTTTCATCAAGGACATCTTCCAGGACATCGCCGCCAAGAGCGACGGCGAGGCCTGCTGCGACTGGGTCGGTGACGAGGGTGCTGGCCACTACGTCAAGATGGTCCACAACGGTATCGAGTACGGTGACATGCAGCTTATTTGCGAGGTAAGCTCACGTCCGCTCCCCCATCTGCTGTCTTTTGTGTCTCTTGTGCAGTGCCATGGGCGGCATGTTGAAAATGGACGCTGACCTGGACCAACCAACTAGGCCTACGACATCATGAAGCGCGGCCTCGGCATGTCCTACAAGGAGATGGGCGACACCTTCGCCAAGTGGAACACTGGTGTCCTTGACTCCTTCCTCATCGAGATTACCCGTGACATCCTCTACTTCAACGACGACGATGGCACTCCCCTTGCTGAGAAGATTCTTGACAAGGCCGGCCAGAAGGGTACCGGCAAGTGGACCGCCGTCAACGCTCTTGACCTCGGCATGCCCGTCACCCTGATCGCCGAGGCTGTCCTCGCCCGCTGCCTGTCCGCCATCAAGGACGAGCGCACCAAGGCCTCTGGTGTCCTTCACTTCGAGAGCCGCGTTCAGAAGTTCGAGGGCGACAAGCAGCAGTTCCTCGACGATCTCGAGCAGGCTCTGTACGCCTCCAAGATCATCTCGTACGCCCAGGGCTTCATGCTCATGCAGGAGGTACGTCTTTTGTCACCCCCCGGCGCACACAAGCCAGATGCTCTGCAGAGATGTGCGACTTGCTGACACAAAAACAAAAACGCAGGCCGCCAAGGAGTACGGCTGGAAGCTCAACAAGCCCTCGATCGCCCTCATGTGGCGCGGTGGTTGCATCATCCGCTCCGTCTTCCTCAAGGACATCACCTCTGCCTACCGCAAGAACCCCGACCTCCAGAACCTTCTGTTCGACGACTTCTTCAACAAGGCCATCCATACCGCCCAGCCCGGCTGGAGAGACGTCGTCGCCAAGTCGGCGCTCCTCGGCATCCCCACCCCCGCCTTCTCTACCGCTCTGTCGTGGTTCGACGGCTACCGCACCAAGGACCTTCCCGCCAACCTTCTGCAGGCCCAGCGTGACTACTTTGGCGCCCACACCTTCCGTGTCAAGCCCGAGCACGCCAACGAGAAGTACCCCGTCGACACGGATGTTCACGTCAACTGGACCGGCCGTGGCGGCAACGTTTCTGCGTCTACGTACCAGGCTTAAAAGGGGTGTGTGCGCTGTGGTAATGGGTCCGGGTCCGGACAGGATGGGGTGATCTTACGTACTTGCCAGCCAGATGCTGGATCATGAAATGAAAGACAATTGTAACATGAACCTTGCTCCAAAGTGTCATGACGTGCACAGGTCGTGATGCTGTGACACTGATGTTGCCTGGAAATGGAGCCTACCAACTGAAGCCTGCATGTACCATGTACTCCTCATGGCACCCCGACAGGTAGGTACTTGGTACCTGCGGACCTCCCGAACTAAACCCGATCCGAAGGAGTGCGTTGCGTGTCTCTGTCAGGTGGTCCGTGCGCAGCCTCGTCGCGAAAGGATTTGGGGTTGGGGCGCGCCGTGACCAGCGTCCAACACGACGAGGAAGGGCCAGGCTGAACAACCATCAACCACAGTGCCACTCGCCGAGCAGCATTCATCGTCCAGCCCCCCCTCATCATATCGGCAGTCATCTACACTTCAGCGCTGCCCGGTCCGAGGACCCATTAGCACCCGAAAAGGCAACGACACTCTTTCCTAGATTTCCACCGAGTTCGGATCGGCCGCTGACGCGCCTTCCCTCGCTTGACCATGGCGCAGCAACAACCAATTCATGACCCTAGCGACGCGATCGAGGAACAGCTTGTAGGCCATCACCGTGAATCCATTGATTCACCCCTTTGACTCTCCAGACATCGCGCTGACACGACAGGCAGCTTCCGCACATTCACCTCATTTCCGCGAACCAATATCCCAACCAAGGCCGACTCGACCTCCAACACGTCACCAAATGGCTGCTAGGCGCCCCCCAGGTTGCCAAAGACAAGGCACCATTTTTCTGGACCTATCTTGACCGCCCCAACGATGGTCAGGTTCTCCTCACGTGGCAACCGCTTAAGAGGCTGGGAACCCAGTTTGCCAGCGACGGCATCGTCTGGGCGCCTGAGCAGTACCACCGCCAGGAAGTCGGCAATGGACTGGTACGCATGATTTGTCCCATGTGACGTTGCCGCTGCAACTCGCTGACTTTGACAGAACCTTGAGATCTACTACAACAAGACGGGCTTCGCGCCCGGCGACCCAGCGGCCGTCCGCGCTCGCCGGAGGTTCCGACTGGTTCCCTCGCAACAGGTCAACATCAACGCGCCGCAGCCCGACATTAGCCTGTGGCTCGTACACTACGGCCAGGCCGACCCCCAGGACCGTCTCCCGATCAACATGGTTCCCTTCACGCCAGACAGCCAGACCATGCTGAACCAGCGCAACTACCTCCAGAACTGTGGCCAGATCACGCGCAAGGACTTTATGCTGTCCGACCGCGGCAACTGGCCGCAGATTGCGTGGCCGCGTACTGGCGGTAACCGACAGCAGGTGTACGCGCCCATTCAGTCGAGGCGACTCCCCCAGCAGATGGCGTATCCCACCCACCCGCAGGTCATGCCCACCGGACGCCGGGGCGGCCGCCAGACGCAGGCGCAGGCGGCAGCGCAGGCGGCGGCTCAGTCTCAGGCGCCGCCTCCGCCTCCCGGCTCCCTGGCTGCCCTCCAGCTCGAGCTGGAGGACGAGGATCTCTACGGCGATGTGTTCGACACGCTGACGCCCCGGGATATTGCACTCTCTCGGTACCAGCAGAACCACGAGTGGATGGAGGAGGTCTTGTCCTCTCCGTACTCGCTCATTCACATCACCCCTCCCGACCTGGGTCTCGGTCTGAAGGGCGAGCTCGCTCCTCTCACGGACGGCATCTTCTCCTCGCAGGGCGGCGAGGCGCACCTGGAGAACCCCGACAAGCCCTACATCGGCAAGCTCGACAAGGGCCTCGCGGATGAGTTCAGGAAGCGGGCGCAGGAGCACATTGACACGACAAATGCCGAGATTGAGAAGATGAAGGCTGACCACGAGGCGGCCATCGCCAAGATGAAGGCCAACGCGACCATTCTCAGCGCAGAGAAGGAGCTCCGCCACTCGGTCGAGGAACGCGGATCCGAGTTCTGGCGTCTCGAGGGTCAGGTGACTGACTCGGACGAGGGCAGCAGCGCCTGGTCGCAGAAGCACAACAAGAAGATCGACGACATTGTGGCGCAGGTCGAGGCGCATCTCGGACGTCAAATCGCGGTCCTCCATGGCGTGAACCGGGTGCAGGCGGGCGGCTACTTGGAACCCGTGCCTGAGCCTGCCAAGAAGGCGACGCCGGCGCCTGTGAAGGAGGCGACGCCAGTCGCTGTCCCCAACTTGGGCGCCGAGTCGAACGACATGTCACGCCGTCCTTCGCAGGCCGGATCGCAGCAGAGCGGGGCTACCGGTGATGACGCTGATATCGACATGGGCGGTACGGCTGCGGGTCTTTCTCGACGAGATGCATACGGGCTTATCGTCGATGTCCACGACCCTCAACTTCCCCACGCCGTCGGGACTGAACTCAAGTGTGGCGACGCCGGCCAACTTGGGCGCACCCTCTCCCCGCGCCGGCTGCAGCGTCCGGTCCTGGGCCAGACGTCTCCATGGCCAACACGGATGCCAACAAGGATGCGGCGGCCAGCAGCGGACAGGATCAGGGCAGCGGCGATTGGGTCGTTGTGCCCAAGGGTGGTGTGTCTCCCGACGCGAACGCGAACACGACGCCTGCCTCTGCCTCTGCCCCTGCCCCTGCCCCTGACGCCGCGGCGGCCGCAGCAGCAGCAGCAGCAGCAGCAGCAGCAACGGCACCTACTGCCGTTGCCGCTCGGCAAGGCTCAGCCGTGGGAACGCCGGCGCTCACTGAAGGCGACAACGACTTTAGCTCGCTCGGTGACCTCGATACAGCGGGTGAGGCGCTGGCCGGCTACGACGGCGGGCTGGACGGCGGAGCGGGTTCGCTTGGCGATGGGTTGGACCTGAACATGGAGATGGAAGATTCGGCATTCGGCGACGCGTTCCACGGGCCATCAAACACGAACACGCCGGGGGAGAATCAATCCGAGGGCGTGTAGGACACTGCATTGGGTTGCTTCAACATGTGAGGCGACGCCCTTCTTTTTTCCCCCTTTCTTTTTTCCCCCTTTCTTGCTTTGCCAGCTTGCCTCTATCGAACTCTATTTCGGGTCTCTAGGCCCCCGTTCTCCCACCGTATCTCGATCAGGTTTGCTGACTGCGTTTGTTCTTCTCGCCGTAGCCCTGACTACGAAGGCGTTTAGGGGCACTGCGATTGAGGCTCCGTATCTGGTTCCGGGTTGGGAGTGTCTGGCAGGGTTACATGGGGCACGGTTTCTTGGCGATGCACAGTAATGCAACGTGTGTGGGAGCTTTCATCAAGATGGGAATACGTGTACTTGTACAGACCATGGCGCTAGCTGTGTGCATTCAATAGCTCCAAATGCTTTTTTTTTTATTTTTCTTCTCTCTTTCTTCGCGCGTGCCCTGCCCGGCCGGGATGGGGTGGACGGAGCATGTCTCGGTATTCGCACATCTGCCCTCATCTGGCCATGTCCTAACCCCCTCCCCCTTGTCGGTGCACCTGCGTGTTCGTTGTCTGCTGTACGTCTGGCTTCTGGGTCAGCCAAGCGAGTCGAGACTGCGTAAGACAAGAGGGCAGAGGAAGCAAAGAGACGAGTTCCATTGAGGCGAAGCGAAAGCGGACGTCAGCCGCGCGACGAGAGAGCGCGACATGCTGGCCTCGGCGTGTCTGTTGGTTCGGAGCCGGTTGTTTGATCGGCTGCAGGGGTCGGACGTTTCGAGACGGCCTCCTTGTTTCCTGGGACAGCCTCTTTTCGCGTGGATGCTGGACTCTGGGTAGAGGAGGGGGGACGGCCATTTTGGATGACGTGTGTCGTCTGAGGGTTGCGCCTGTGCATTGATGCCATGGGATTTGGGGTTTTCTGGGCGATGTTTGGGTGAAGGCTTGGGGATGACGACTGATGTTCGTTCATCGCTGTGGTTGGAGATGATGGTCACGCGAGTCGTCTCAGGAATGGAGCCGACGACCAAAGTCAATCTCAGGTCCCCTCACGGTGTGGCTTGTGAGATGGTTACCTCGCCGTCAGACTAGTCTCAAAGGTTAATCATGCTTAAATGTCGTAATCTTGACCTCCTTTCAACCTCACCACCTCCCCATCCGAGGTGCCTCACCACACCATCTGAGGTCTGGTGACCATCTGAGGTCTGGTGCCTCACCACCATCAACCCAACCCAGACACACAAGCACATGGGTTGAACACCGAGACAGAGACAGCCCGAGCACGGCCGTCCCGCTCAGACACGCTTACCGCCCCCGTGCCATGTCCGCCCTACCGCAACGCAACGCCGGAGCCTTGCCCCCCAACATCAGACGGCCTCTGTCGCGGATCATGTACGGGGGGGTTCGCGAGACATCAGCTCCGCCAAGTCCCGCTCGGCCCATGGGACTCCCCTCCCCATCTTTCGTTGCCGCCCTTTTTGGGGTTTTTTCTTTGGTTTCTTCCCTCTTCGTCAAGACGAGAGATCTCCGATGCAGACATCCTTTCTTTCTCTCTTTCTCTTGCCTTTTCTTCGATCTTCATTTCCTCGAGTCAAGTTCGTCTTGTCTCAAATGTTTGTGTCATTCTCTTCTTGACTGCCGGCCAGCACCCCCTCACCTTCACTATCACTGTCTTTTATTTTTCTTTCTTTCACCTGATTGCCGTCTCTACGACTCGCTGCTTCTTCTCTTCTTCTTCTCACACGCAACGCCCTAGCGGTGTTTGTCCTGTCTGTTTTAATACCTGCCATATTGTTGGGCATTTCTCTCTGTACGGCTTGCCTATCTGTCTGTCTGTCTGTTGGACGCTGCCTCACGATCATTACTCAACCTCCAAGACCCTCACAACGGGTAATTCGCGACAACGTACCGCGACGACGATCACGAGAAGAACGATGCACTTCAAGGCCATCATCCTGCTGTTGAGCGCCTCGGCCTCGCTCGCGGCGGCCCAGAGCGTCGATCCCGCCGTGCCCTCTGTCGCGCCGGAGGTGGCGCCTGGCGAGGGAGTTGGGGAGGTGCCCGTCCTGGCGCCCGAGCCGGCCGTGCCTGTCCCGGGTGGGAACGACGAGGAGGGTGTGCCCGCTGTCGAGGTCCCGGCGCCCGAGGTCCCAGCTGGTGATGTTGCCGCTCCTGAGGTTCCCGCGGCCCCCGAGGCTCCCATCGCCCCCGAGGTACCAGCAGCCCCCGAGGTACCAGCAGCCCCTGAGGCTCCCCTCGCCCCTGAGATTCCAGAGGCCCCCGAGGCTCCCATCGCCCCCGAGGTGCCAGCTGAGCAGCCGGTGGCCGACCTCCCTGATGCCGACCAGGACGGGATTCCTGACGGCGCCGAGACCGGTGGACAGGGTGCCGAGTTGCGGCCCCTGCCCGGCTTGCAGGAGACCGTTGGTGAGCTGAGACCGCTGCCCGGCACCGGTGGCGAGCAGATCGAGGAGGTTCAGCCGCCGGAAGGTGCTGAGCCGGTTCAGTCTGCTCTGCCTGTTTCGTCTGCTCTGCCTGTTTCGTCTGCTCTGCCTGTTTCGTCTGCTCTGCCTGTTTCGTCTGCTCTGCCCGTTGAATCTTCTGCGCCAGCCGAGTCCTCTCTGCCAGCCGCGTCTTCGGCCCCCATCCCATCTGAGGCGCCGGTAGAATCCGCCCTGCCGCTCGAGTCTGCAGCCCCGGTCGAGGGAGTTAGTCCCCTGCAGCCCATTGCGCCGGCCGACCCTCTCCAGCCTTCCGAGTCGGCATCGAGCATCGTCGAATCGGCCATTCCCACCCTCGCGCCCCTGCTGCCGGGCAGCGCCGCGCCGTCGGTCGACCCCGCCTCGTCGATCCCACCCGTCAGCGAGTCGGCCGTTCCCAGCCTGCCCCTCGACATAACCGACCCTCCAGCGCCATCGGCGGCGTCCAGCGATCTCCTTCTCCCCACAGAGTCCAGCGAGCTTGTTGTCCCGAGTGCCTCTTCCGCCCTGCTCGAGCCCTCGACGCCGCTATCTCTCGTCGAATCCGCCATTCCGTCCCCGCCTCTGGCGGCACCCCTCGTACCATCCGCGCCCGCCGCTCCTCTGGTCCCCGTGGCACCCGTCGAGAGCCTGCCCGTGATCCCCACGAACGCCACTCTCCCCCAGGTCCCCGTAAGTTGACTCTCCCTCCCGCTTCTTGCGCATGACAACGGAAAAGCTAAAAGAAACTCAACAGGTCCAAACGCCAGAGCCCATCCCAGCTCTGCCCGTCGGCGGCGCCCTCCCGAGCGCGCCCCCCTCCGCCGTCATCGGCAACGGCACCGCCCCCGTCGCGCCCCCCGCTGCTCCCGTCCCCGGTGACGCGGAGGAAGTCCAGGGTCCGTCTGGCGGCGAGACGGGACTCGAGCCCCTGCCCGGCACGGACGACTCTGGCAGCGGTGAGCTCCAGGACCGGCCTGCGGGCGACGAGGGGGCCGCCGACGAGGAGCAGGATGGCGGCGAGGCCGACGAGGAAGGAGACGAGGAGTCTGATTCGGACTCGGACTCTGAGTCGGATTCGGATGAGGATTCTTCCTCTGAGGAGGAATCTGGCGACGGCGAGGAAGCTGGCGACGGCGAGGAAGCTGGCGATGAAGAGGAGGAATCTGGTGATGGCGAAGACGAAGAGGAGGAAGAAGAAGAAGAAGAAGAAGAAGAGTCCTCAGGCGAAGCAGGAGACAATGCAGACGAAGGAGACGAGGAGGAGGAGGACTCGGGCAGCGGCGCCGGTAGCGGTTCCGGCTCCGACACCCAACCCTCGGCGCTCCTCGCGCCAACCGGCCTCGCCCCGAACCGAACGGCCACTCTGCCCGGCACGCTTCTGGTCGCGACGTCGTCTTTCGGCGCAGGCCTCACGATGCAGACGTCGCTGCGCCTCGCGACCGGCGTGTCGGCCGAGGTGACGGCACCGTCGAACGGTGGGTTGGAGGCCGTGACGACGGGGGCGAACGGCGGAACGCTCAATGCTGAGGATGATCAGGGAGCTGGCGTGCGGGTCGGCGTTACGGGCTTCGCTGGCATGGTTGTTATGGCGGCTGTTGTCTTTGTTCTTTAGGGATCGCTTCCCTGACGTGGACCTGTGTTGGGGAATTCAAAGGATGGAAGTGCCAAGTAATAGAGAGCCTTCGAGATATTGAGGAAGATCTGGTGGCATACAGACTCGGAGGATTGTACACACTGCCTCGAAGAAACACAGTAAAAGTTAAACGTATGAAAATATCAAATTCAAAACACGTAATAATCTATCTGTAAATGGTATCAAATCAAGCGCCCATGCTAAACTCCGTCTCATGTATCATGATAGCACACTGCCGTAACATCATCTACTGTCCCGGCATTCCCTTCCGGATGTTGGCGTACTTGCTTGCAGGGTACGACAGCCAGTTCTTCGTCTGGTCCATGGCGCCCATGGCTTTCGACACGGTCCTCACAAGACTGCGATCGCCGGCGCGATCGCCAGCCGACTCCCAAAACACGGCACCGCCGAGTCTCTTCTTGACGAGGTAGTCGGCCTTGCGTTTCACCGAGTTTTGGTTGTCGTACGTCACGAGCTCCCGCGTCTTCTTGTCGTAGCTCCACGCGGCCACAGCTTCGGCGTCCCAGCGCTCCTCGGCTCCGGGTGCCGGCAGAGCCTTGTAGTGGTAGACACCGGCCTCGATGGACCCCTTGCCGATACCTGAATACGGCTTTCCGAGGCCGTCGGTGCGCGCAAAGGACCTGCCATACAGCGGCACGCCGAGCAGCACTTTGCTTGGGTTGATGCCCTGGCTGAGGTAGTAGTTGACGGCAGTCTCCGTGTCGTACTGGGTGGCGGCAGGGTTGCTCTTGCTCCTGTAGAGGTTGGACTGGTGACCGGTCTTTCCGGACCAAGAACCCGCGTAATCGTAAGCCATGAGGTGCCAACCATCGACAAACGGTGCCATCTTCTTCATGTCAAGAACGCGGTAGTTGGTAGGACCGGCGGGGACGGCGATGGTCAGCTGAAAGCGGTAACCCTTGGCGTACCTGGCAGCGTAGTTGTCCAGGGCCTGGCGACAGGCGGCCAGGAGCCGAACAAAGTCGAGCGCCTCATTGGCATTCTTGGGGTACTCCCAGTCAATGTCAAGGCCGTCGAACCCCCAATCAGCCATAAGAGCAACGGCGCTGGAGGCGAAGCGTTGACGGCCAGCTTCGGTACGCGCAACAGGGGCGAACTTGGGAGACCATGTCCAGCCGCCAATGGAGAGAAGAAGCTTGAGCTGGCGAAACTTCTTCTTCCTGAGGTAAAGCTGCTTGATACAGCCGTAGGCGTTGGTGCCTTGTTCGTTCCAGGAATCGCCAGGGAAGTGCTTCTCCAGGTCGGCATATGTGTCGGACGAGACGCTAGGTTGTCAGCGGACGATGCGTGCCACTTGGAAACGGCTGGCTTACACTTGTCCATCTGATCTGATGTCAGCGAACGAGTAGAGAAGATGGGTGGCCTTGTCAGCTGGAAAGTCTGCAGGCTGGTGGTTGGCGCCATAGATGCCCCTGAGAGAAGGAGTCAGCATTCGCATCCCGAGTTTTGGTGGATCTAGAGCGATATTACCAATTCGTGAAGTAGACAGCGTTCCTGTAGCCCGCTACAGCTGCGCGTTCAGTGATATTCCGGAGGTCATCGACAGGCTCGTCGATGACGGGCAGGTTCTCGTCGTCGTCCTTGGGTGCCACAGAAGTGGGACGGGCAGTGCTCTGAAGATGCACAACCTTTGTCACTGTCTGGACGGCGATTTCTACCGACTTGGGCCCATCGAGGTCAAGGTTCTTGTTGTAGGGACTGGCACTGGCAGCCGCTGCAAAAAGAAGTGCCGAAGTGAAAAGGTCTTTCCCCAGCATGTTGATGGATGCGCTGCTTGCTGTGCGAGGCCTGGGAGGGTATAGTGATGGAGAGCAAAGAGAGTGAACATCCAGATGACGGGTTCAGATCCTGAAGCACTTATACTCCATGGTTCGGTATCCATCATCTGCAAGCCATGCGAGACGGATGAGGTGCGAGACACTCGCTCCTGGTGAGGAATGTAGCCGCTGGCCCTTCCAGGTCGCCACGAGCATGAGAAGTGTCTCGCCCGGACGAAGCCAGGAGGAGGCGCTGAAGGCCCAGACCGGGGGTTCTGAAAAGCAGTTGAGGACAATGGCTAACAGTAAATCGAGGAATGCATAACGGTCGGAAGCGTGTCATTGTGGCTTGCGTGCCTGGATTTGGGCCCCCTTTCCGCAAAGACGAGGCGTCTGTAGTGGACGTTTTGGTTTATGTGGGAGGAGGACCAGAGGAAACAAGGCTGCATAGACTCGACAGGCTCGACGGGCTCGATAGACTTGCTACGGTACATGGTTAAAATAAAGAGTAGATAAGATTTTGAAGCTTATCTGTCTCTTAATCTCGGCGTCGGGAGACATGTTGCATCGGTCCCTGTCGATGGGACATCAAGACTGACTTTTTGGCGAGGGCCAGTGGGATCTGTGGCAAGGGCTGAGTGGTTGAGATGCAAGGATGGTGTGCTTCCGAGCCAAGGCAGGTTTCCAATGTCGGCCCACAAGGGACTGGCCTGGTGATGATGATGATGGAGGTGAAGAGCAGACTGGCTTCGACCCCTGAACGTTCCTCCACCGTGAGGAGGAATGTTCACGCCACGCCGGGTCGCGCATCGCACCACAAGCCACATGCACCACGGGTCACTCCACTCACCCTTTCCTCCTTCCTCACCTCTCACCACTTCCTTCCCACTTGCTTCCCACTTCCTTCCCAATGGCTTCCCACTTCCCACCCGTCCTTGCCAGTCGTCCTTGTTCCCTGTCAGTCGTCACTGCTCCCTGCCAGTCGTCCTTGCTCCCTGTCAGTCGTCACTGCTCCCTGTCGGTTGTCCAATGTCTCCTTCCCTCATTCTCCTCCTGCCCCGCTCCAGCGATTCGTGACGCTTCTCCGTGTCTGACCATGAAGCATCACGGGCCAGCCAGCCTCCCTCGGCTGCCCCCCTTCTCTCGAGAAACTACAGGAGACACATCACTCACAAGGCCAGGAACGGCCTCACAAATGTCTCCGCCTCGCGTGGCAGGGACCTCACATCAGACACATTCGCAGAAGCTTGGAATGCCACCTCCGTTAGCGGGTGTCCCAGCACCACAGCACGCCAGATTCAGTCATGTCTCACCTCTACTCTGATTTCCAAGTCAACGGCAAACATCGACGCCACATTCGATTTCAACGGTCCTGAGATCCCTCAGATGCAAACAGCCTGCCCTGAAAGCAACATCTCATCTCAGATTACGCCTTGGGTTCAAGCTACAGAAACAGCAGCTAGCAGCACTGCAGACCACCAACATGCTTCTCGCCAGCTTTACCCGTCCTCTCACATCCCTCGCGCCGCTCGAGGACCATCAACGCGAGGGGCATCACCCCCGTCAGCACAGCCGTCGTCCCAACCCCGACGTCCATTCCGCAGCCACCCAGCCGCACGAGGCCCACGAGACCAGCCAGCAGTATCCCACCCGCCACCCCGCCCACGGCGCCCCGAAACCTCCAGTCCCGTGGCATCTCGTACCGCGCGATGATCGCCCACGCGCACGCCGCCACGAGGAGCGCACGTAGCGGCATCATCGTCGGCATGCGCGCTGACGTCGGGGCCCAGCCTTCCGCGCACCTCAGCAGAACCTCGCCCGTGAGCGTGGCCGCCGCGTAGATGGCGGCCGTGCGAATGGTGAAGTAGGCGAGGGCCAGGTCCCAGAGGGTCTCGACAACGGTGAGTCTCGTGTGTAGGAAGAGAGGGAGATGTGTTGCTTCGGTATTGTGCTTTTTGTTTGACGACATGTGTGACTTGTTTGCTTGTGATGTATACGTGTGATAATGATTATGTAGACTGTAATTGAGCCTCCTTCTCTGCACCTGTAAAAGAGCGCTGTGCTTTACTTTATTTACTGTGCGATCGACCAGTGGCTGCCACTGGTCTCCTGATGATTTGCCGACTCCTGCGATGGTGGGCTGATCTGTCGCGAGATGCCCCATCTCCTGTCTACCAGCGCCCGCTCCAGTCAGTCTACGGTACGAATGCACAGTCACATGCAGCTCAAACTTTGCTCCACGTAATGCCATTCTATCAAGGGGGAATTTGGGGGGGTATCGTGTCCAAGTCTGCATCGTGCTCTCTGTCATCACGCATAGTCTATACTCCACACGTAGGCAGTCTCCTGCCTCTAGATGCCCGTCTTCTCGAGCTTCTTGGCCAGCGCCTCGACCTCCTTGTCCTTGACCTGCACGACGGGCTCTTCCTGGGCCTCCTCGGCGTCCTTGATCAGAATCTCGGCCCGCTTCTCCGTCGACAGTTCCTCCTCCTCTTCTTCGTCGTCCACCTCCTCGTCATCAGAGTCCTCCTCCTCGAGGTCGCTGAGGCTGTCAAGACCCCAGTCGTCCTCGACAACGACATCCCCACCCAGCTTCTCCTTGCGCTCCTCGAGGAGCTCGCGCAGCGCAATCACCGCAGGGTCCTCCTCCTCAAACTTGTTGCCGTTGAGCTCGATCCTCTTGAGCGCCGGCAGCGCGTCCCTGGCCGCGGGCACGAGCCCCTGGAGGGCCTTGGCGTTGATCTCGTTGTACTGCAGGCGCAGCGTCTCGAGCTTGGCGTTGCGGCCCTTGGCGAGGGCACCCGCCAGAAGCACGCCGCCCTTGGAGGTGAGGTACGAGTCGCCGACGCCGAGCTCGACGAGGTCGGCCCAGCCGGGGGCGACGCCGGCGAGGGCGCGGGCGCCCTGCACGGTAAAGGTGTTGTCCTGGAGGTCGAGGACGCGCAGGCCCTGGGCGTGGACGAGGCCCTCGCTGAGAAAGGTGCCAGACGCCCTCCTGGCGGATGCCGTTCTGCACCATCTTGATGACCTTGATCTTGTTGTGCAGCCGGAAGGCCTTGGCCCAGGCCTGCTTGCTGCCGTTCTCCAGCCCGTTTGCGCCCAAAAATGACCGTCTCGAGATCGGGCACCCTCCTTGCCCTCCTTGC